AGGCTTGACTGCAGCACTGCAGTTTAACCGCTGTGCAACGGTGCTCTGACTACAGCTCGCCCAGCCATGGGCTGTAGTAGTTAGGAGCTGTAGTCCAAGAACATCTGGCAGCGTGTGATCCCCGTAAAGATCTGCTGAAACAGAAACCGTGCGGGGAGAAGAGGAGCTTGATGGGACCGATCTCCGCAGAACTCACGCAGTGGCCCCGCTTTCAGCCAGGAGGACATTTTAGCCATGAACAGGAGGGACCTGCTGAAATTTTCTTTGAACTCCATGCCATTTTGGAAATCCTTGCAGGAGAGAATACTAGAAGTGCTTTGTTAAAAAAGTAAAAGGAAAAAACTCACCAAGTTTCTGGTGCTTTATGGATACACAAAATAAGTTTGAATGTGTATTTATAATGCGGAGCTTCAACAAAAAAGAAGAAAGTCTAAAACTCAACAAAGCCTGGCTCCCAGCACTGAAAAATGCAGCCTGCAAAAGGTCAACAAACTCTACCCAGCCACAAGGACTGGTGATCGCTATACACAAAAGACCAGCTAACGACACCCATCAATCACAGTGACAGATAATCTCTTCTTCTTATCACAACAATACAGCCACAACAAAAAAAGTGTGCTGCTTAAAGTGTGCTGCTTATATACCGCCCCATAGCGCTTCAAGCACTCTCTGGGTGGTTTACAATTTAATTATGCAGGCTACACATTGCCCCCCCCCCAAGCAAGCTGGGTACTCATTTTACCGACCTCAGAAGGATAGGAGGCTGAGTCAACCTTGAGCCGGCTACCTGGGATTTGAACCCCAGGTCGTGAGCACAGTTTTAGCTGCAGTACAGCGGTTTAATCACTGCACCACGAGGCTCTTCCTGAAAAGGACAAAAGCTGATCCAACAGCTATAAATACTCAACTCCCAAACTGCACCAGAGCACAAGAGTTCTGCCTCCTATCCTCTGAAGATGCCGGCCACAGAGATTGGCGAAACGTTAGGAAGAAAAACCTTCAGAACACGGCCAAAGAGCCCGAAAAACCCACAACAACCATTGTATTTATAATGCTTGTTGACTATTCGGAACGCATGAAACGTCTTGGTATGAGTTGTGTTCGTTCCTCTACGCCAGGGCTGTTGAGAGACCCCCTCAGCCTTGGGCCGAATCCTGACCTCAGTCAGCTGTCTTGAAATGTAGGTGAGTGGGCTTAGACACCCCCTGCACACACAGCAAGCAATGGGAGCTCAGGTTGGCTAACAATCTGCAGTGAACAAAAATTCACAAATGGAAAATATATGAAGTAGCACATCAGAAATGTCTGTTACGATGCCGTAAAAAGAGCAGAAACAAACAGTATTGCCAGAGAAACGAAACGCTTATTTCCCAGAAGCTTGTCCAAATGGATAAGGAAATTGCACAAGCATTGTTTTAATTTTTAAAATTGCTCACCGGTGAGATTGCAAAGCCTGGGGATGACGGAAAGCCTAGGAAGAGATCAGCAGTCCTGGGAGGAGGACTCAGGAGAGGAGAAAGATATAAAAGATGGGAAAGGGTGGGAGAGGAGGAGGTAAGGTGGAGAGGAGGTAAAGCAGAAAAGGAGGAGCTAAAGCGGGAGAGGAGGAAGTAAGGCAGGAGGAGCAGTAAGGCAGAGAGGAGGAGCTTAAGTGGGAGAGGAGGAACTAAAGTAGGACAGGAGAGTTTGAAGAGAATTTCCTCGAGGTTAAGAAATTGCACAAGCATTGTTTTAATTTTTAAAATTGCTCACCGGTGAGATTGCAAAGCCTGGGGATGACGGAAAGCCTAGGAAGAGATCAGCAGTCCTGGGAGGAGGACTCAGGAGAGGAGAAAGATATAAAAGATGGGAAAGGGTGGGAGAGGAGGAGGTAAGGTGGAGAGGAGGAGGTAAAGCAGGAGAGGAGGAGGTAAAGCAGGAGAGGAGGAAGTAAGAGGGGAGAAAAGAGGTAAGGTGGGACATGGTGCAATATCAGGGAGAAGAGTCTTGTCTGGGGGGAGGTGGAAAAAAATAGAGAAGAGATATTTAGAGGTCAGCAGAACTTCTACAGGATTTCCATGTGACAACAGCAAACTGTGAGCAAAGATGTGAGTCCAGTGTGAAATGTGGAAAGAGTCGTGTGGTAGAGGAAAATAAATCCAGATAGTTTTTAGATGGTCCCCCCTGTAACAACATCTCCTACGCTCTTGAAATTGAGATGCTCTTGTTGGTTGGATATGAGAGAACATACCACTTACAAGCCAGAACACACTGGGGAGGACGACTTGGAACCTACAGTGTGGCAGAGAAACCTCCAGCAGCAAAGAAAGCACTAAAGGTTGCAAAGAAATCCTTTTTTGAGTGTCCGGATTGTAGAAAACAATCAAGACACAGAGGGGAAAACTTGATGTGGCATCAGAAAATATCTCATGGAGAGAAATCAAAAGCCAGGTTCTGACAGTGGGAAAACTTCCCATCAGAGCGGACGACTGCTGAGGCACAACAATTCTGGTTATGAGAGTCTATGGACTGCCCCACGTATGGAGGGAAATGCCTCCCCATTAGAGGAACATCAATTAGACGCGTGCAGGAGAGTGCCTTTTGAAGCTTCTCATCCTGGCCCGCAAGAGAGCTTGTTTGAGGAGGCCATCAAAGAATCAGTACAGGAGAGAAGCTGCATGTAGGGTCTGCCTAGGGAAGAAGTGGTTCTTGGGTCGATTCAACATGGAAGAAGCCCTGTCAATGCCTTTGAATGTAGCAAAAGCTTTTGTCACAAAGGCAGCTTGGCTAAGCCTCAGGGCAGACCTGGGCAAAGTGCGGCCCGAGGGCCACATACGGCCCGCGAGCTGCTCCTGCCTGGCCCACAGACAGTTTTGAACATCAAAACCATGTATAGCTTTTTGTCTAAAGTTGATCAGTTGCTTATCTTTAACATACCGCAAAAAACCTCTTCAGTATTTGTGAAGATTAACAAATTTAAAATAAAAACAATCATAACATCAGTGTTTCATTTTAATTTTAAGTAAAGTTGGTTCGGCCCCCAAACACAGTTCAGATTTTTCATGTGGCCCCCCCTATAAAAATTAATTGTCCACCCCTGACTCAGGGGATCCATCTGTAGGGTGGAAATCATGTCCTGAGATCTTGCCATGTCATGTTGTGTTAGGAAATGGCAAGCAAGCCTGCTTGTTTTCAATGGTGAAATAGTAAATATTAACAGCTTTGAGTTTTCGGTGTTCCCTCCCCCCAGCCGTCCCGGCCTCTCTGTATTTAATGGTTTATCTGGTGAAAACATCAGAGAATCCATCCAGGATAAGATTCCCATAAGGAGCTGATTCACCAAAATTCACAATGACATTTTATGGTGTAAAATGACTAATAGGATTGTGGCCAATTATTATTAGGGTGTAGTTAATTACATTGTGATTGTAACTTAACAAAGGAGAACTTCACTCCGTTTGCAACTCTGTTTTAGTTATTGTATAATTACATGGGTAGTCGCATATACAGTATAGGTGTGCTTTGCACCATAAGTGTGTTACATTCTCTTATTTATAAAGTAACTAAAGGTAACTTAGTTAGTTATGAATAAAATGGAAACAAGGTTATGTTTAAAGTTTTAACTAGTCGTAACCAACTTTTGTCTTGGAACTGTGAAGGCAACTCATTGCTTTTATAAATAAATGTTCAAGCTGCAGCCATTTGAAATATAATCAGAGAGGCAGAAAAAGAAGGATGAATTTTAGGGGTGATGTTCCAATTCAGCTGGAGAAGGAGGGAGGGAGGGGGAGGGCCAGCCACAAGGAAGACGCGGTAGTCCAGAAGTGACCAAAATGTAGATAAACTTTCCTCTCTTTGCCACTCCAGGGACTGAGAAGAGAAGCTGGGTGAAGAGGGAGACCTCCCAAGAGGAAAAGACGGGGGCTTTGACAGGATTGTCTCCGTGGATTGTTCCTTCCGCGATGGCAGAAGTCCAGGAGCAAAGATGTGAGTCCAGAGGGAAGGAGGGAAAGAAGCCGGTGGTGGGAGAGAAGGAGGAGCCCGGGGTGCTTTTTGACGGTCTTGCAGCTGCCTGTCGCAAAGCCTCTGTGCTGCACTCCCAGGCGGAGAAGCTGCTGTGGAGCTCCAGGTACGGCAGGAGAAGCTACTGCAGGCCAGGACGAGAGGCCTCCTACACCCGAGAAGACCAGGCGGAATGCCTGATGTGGTGGGAGAACCTCCAGCCAAAGCCGAAAGAGGAGAAGGCTTTCGAGTGCCCCGGATGTGGGAAGTGCTTCAGCCAGAGACACAATCTGAGGAGACACCAGAGGATCCACACCGGGGAGAAGCCGCACGTCTGTCCCGACTGCGGGAGAAGCTTTGCTCGGCCGGACGGTTTGGTGAGCCACCAGCGGAAGCATTTCCACGTGAAGCCTTTCGAATGCCTGGAGTGCGGGAAAAACTTCAGTTACAAATGCAACCTCTCTAAGCATCAGAGGATCCACGTGAGAGAGGTCATCCTTTAACGCCTCCTCGTCTTATAAAGGGGGGAAAAACACACCGGTAGCAAAGGGCATTATGTTAGGACGTGGGTAGATCAGCCTGTTCCTCACACGGGCTGAATAAAGATAGTGATTTCCAGGGGAAAAGAAAGTCTTGAGTACTCTGTCTCTCATAAAGCAACAAAATCCCTTGGCCGGCCTTGACCTCACTTTTTGGGAAAACGAGGGCACAGCACAGAATATCTACTGGGAAAATAAATTCCTTACTGAAGTCACTGGGACTGATTTTAAGGGTCAGGAGCTGTTGGACAGGAGCACAGAAACCCCAAGATCCACCTTCGTTCCTGTCATGGCAAATTCTTCCCGTCTCCTTGTGCTTGGAAGCAGAACTTGTAATGATGCCGTAAAGAGTGATGTATGCTTATTTTGAAGACTTCTCCTCCTGAACATGAAGGGGAAAACATTTCTCCCCACAAGGAACTATTCCGACTGAGGAGTTTTGGCAGTCTATAAAAAGTAGCTTTTCAAGTATGTAATCCTATTCACTGGGACGAGTTCCCGTTCAAGAAAGCAGGACTTACGAGTAAGCATGTTTGGGACGAATGCACCGTATATTCATTTCCCAATCTCTAGGGCCCTGCCATGAGGCGTCCTTGAGAAATCAAGGGACACGGATCAGCAGAAGCAGGAAGGAAAATGTATCTTTGTTCCTGTCGGTGGTTTCTTACGGTCTCTCAACCCTTATGCTTGGAAGCAGAACGTGTAAAGGTGCTATGAAGGGAGACGTGTGTTTTATTTTAAAGACTGCCCCTCCTAAATATGTTGTGGGGGGAAAAGAAAGACTTAGCAACCTCCAAAGTCAGCTGGAGAAGGAGAAAGGGAAAGGCGGGAAATACCAGCCAGGAAGGGCGAGAATCTTAGTAAAAGCAGTGTCCGAAACCTAAAAGACCAACCTTCCTCTCTCTGTGTCTCTTCAGGTGATGGGAAGAGAAGTCGGCTCAAGATGGAGGCCTCCCAGGAGGGAAAGATTGGGACATTAGGAGAAATATCCCAGTGGAACATTCCCGCGACTGCTGCCCTTCATGAGCAGAGATGTGAGTCCAAAGGGCAGGAGGGGAAGAAACCGGTGGTGGGAGAGAAAGAATCGGGGGATCTTTTAGCTGATGGTACAGCAACCTCTAGCAGAGCTTCTGTCCCGCCCTCTCGGGCAGGAAGGCCAGTAGTCCCTACATATGGTAGAAGGTGCCACTACAGGGTAGGACTTTTAACGACAGCGACCCCAGGTGAGGACGACTCTGAGCGTCCCACGTGGGATGGAAGTGTCCGGCAGAAAAGCCATGATCGCAGATGCCAAACGGGGGAGAAAGCTTTAAAATGTCCCGACTACGGGAAGGGCTTCAGGCCAAGAGAGAACCTGGCGCGACATCGGAGGCTAAACCCTGAAGAGAAAGCCCACAGCTGCCTCAAGGGAGGAGCGGCAGCTTCCCGTCCACAGAATAATTTGCTCAGACCAGCCCGTCCTGGGAAAAGACGCCACAAATGTCCAATGTGTGGGAAGGACTTCCCAAGTAGAGGCAAGCTCGTTAGACACGTGAGGATCCATACCGGAGAGCGGCCGTTCAAATGCTCTCAGTGTGGCCGGGTCTTCACTCAGAGCGCTCACCTGAGGAGACACCAGAGAATCCACACAGGAGAGAAGCCGCACGTGTGCCCCGAGTGCGAGAAACGTTTCTCTCGGAGCGATGAGTTGATCAGCCACCAGAGAACCCATGGACGAGACAGGTATTATAAATGCCCTGCGTGTGGGAAAAGCTTTAGGCACAAGCGCACCCTGGCTAAACACCAGAGAAGCCACGTAGGGCTTTAAGAAGGCCTGGAAGGCTGGCATTTCACACACAAAAGCTTCCAGGAGCGCCTCTTGTTTTGCTTGTGCTGCTGGACTACGACTCCTGTCAGCCCTAGCCGCTAAGGAACGATGGGACTTGCAGTGCAGCAGCGCTGAGAAGGCCCCCACAAATGGCCCATTCTTGAATATTAGAGTTTGTCCTTGAAACAAATCCTGAAACTTCTGCACAGAAAAGTGTCCAAATATTTCATCAGCTGCAGTTTCCTAATGCAGCCCATGTGTTTTATACATGTTAAGCAGGGATACAAGCTTCTTTCTTTTCTGTTTTGCACCATTTACTCAGCCATTTTAATATTTTGCATAATTTATATGTCTGCTGAGGAGTAATGGATTCTGTGGAGCTTGTTTCCAGGTAAGGGGGTACAAAAGTAGAGACTTGGATTTTGCTTTATAACGCAAGGATCTGAAATCTCACGTCAGGCACTGGGTGGATGGGTTCTCCAGCTAAACCCCATGATTTCTGAGATTTCCATTGGCTTTACCCAAACATTTGCAAGCCTGTCTTTATATTTGTTCAGGCTAAAGGCCCCCTTTGCCCTTTAAATGAAGGTTGAGTTGCATAAAATTGATTCAGTGGAATATACAGGCAGCCCTGAGAAATAAGCAGGTTCAGGCTGTGTCCCTTAGTTTGTTTGCCTTCATTACTTAAGTGAGCTTAATGTACTCTCTGTAAAAGGAAAGAATGCAGGGAAAGGTGGAAGGCAGCAGGAAACGAGGAAGACCAGATACGAGATGGATCGACTGTCTGAAGGAAGCCACAGACTTGAGTTTACAAGAGCTGAGCCTGACCTCTGTGGAGCCTACATCTTAGGAGACGTGTTTCAGATTGCACTGTGCTGGAATGGGCTAAACCTGACATGTCGTTGTGCCCCAATCATTCTTTGGGAATCTGGTGCCGGACGAGTGATTCGGGGCTCATCTGGTATCAGATGATCCTTTCTTTAGGGGCTCGTTTGTTTTTCCACAGCTTCTGCTTGTATGCTTCTAAATAAACACCTACATATTACAAAAGACATGGTCCGTCTCCAGTGCCCTCTGTCACCATGACAAAGAAAATTTAGCTCTGTAGCTGCCTCTCAATCTTTTGCGACTGGAGGAAGTAGGAAGCTGCCCCCAAACGCCAGCCATCGGAATGTCTGGAAATTAGTTACAGTATGACCCCCTTATCCATGGGATCAGAATCTGCTGGTTCACTTACCCACGGTCTGAAAATATTAAAAGAAACATTCCTATATATGAGAGGGCTCCAGAGTCTATGCTATGTATATCGTTCACTGTTAAAATCATGTTCTGCGTTTTACAGCATCAGTGTGGTGGAGCTTGGAACCAATCCCCCTTCCAGCAGCGAAATAGATGCAGACCGTTATCCAGACTTTGAGAAATCACTTCTTAAAAGTAATCAGTTGCCATTCTAGTTCTAATGCCCCCTCAAAAGTTGTTAACTCACAATTTCTGTATTTTTTCCGCGTATAAATCAACACTTTTTCCTAAAATACAGTGGTGTCTCGCTTTACGATTGCCCCACATTAAGACGATCTTTTTGCAATCGCAATTGCGATCACAAAACGATGGTCTAAATGGGTTTTTTTTTCGCTTTGCGATGATCTGTTCCCTGCTTCGGGAACTGATTCTTTGCAAAACGACAAATTTAAAACAGCTGCCGGGTAAACAAAATGGCTCCCCCCTGTTTTCTGGGACAGATTCCTCGCAAGACAGGCACTGAAAACGGCTGCCCTATGGCGCAAGGCAGGCAGCGAAAACGGCTGCCCTATGGAGTTACCAAAAGTTACCAAACAGTTGTTCTATTTACTTTAAAAATAGATGAATACATTAATATGGGACAGCCAGCACAAGTCAACCGCTGAACCATGGAATGTTTTAGTGATTCTACATCACATGTGGCTATAATTTCAATTTAAAGTGCTGGTTATGACCTATAAAACCCTGTAAGGTTTTAGTCCGGGCTATTTGAAGGATTGCATCACCCCGTATGAGTCTTCTTGGCTTTTAAGGTCTTCAGAGGGGTTCTCCTTCTCTCGGTTCCACCACCTTCCCAAGCTCGCTTGGTGAGGACACAAGAGAGGAGGGCCTTTTCAGTGGTGGCTCCCAGGATTTGGAATGTGGTGCACCAAGAAGCCAGGTTAGCCCCCTCTCTGTGGTCCTTCCATCGTCAGGCAAATACCTTCCTCTTTGTTCCAGCAATAAGTGTCTCAAGAATCCTGTGTTTAATGAACTTAAAGTTTTTTGAAATATTTTAATTCTGGTTTTAATCTTGATAATAGGTTTAAGTGAATTTTTAATATGGTATTTATGTGGTATTTAAAACTGTTGATTATTGTATAGCTGTAGCTGCTATGAGCCACCTTGGGTTTTCCCTGTCGGTTCCACCACCTTCCCAAGCTCGCTTGGTGAGGACACAAGAGAGGAGGGCCTTTTCAGTGGTGGCTCCCAGGATTTGGAATGTGGTGCACCAAGAAGCCAGGTTAGCCCCCTCTCTGTGGTCCTTCCATCGTCAGGCAAATACCTTCCTCTTTGTTCCAGCAATAAGTGTCTCAAGAATCCTGTGTTTAATGAACTTAAAGTTTTTTGAAATATTTTAATTCTGGTTTTAATCTTGATAATAGGTTTAAGTGAATTTTTATCAATTCTCAGTCTGCAAGTCAAACCTAAATTTTGCGGCCAGAGAAGTCTGTAACTCAAAAAGTCTGTAAGTCAAGCCGTCTGTAAGTCAAGAGTCCACTGTATAGCCACAGTGTAAAAGCAGTGCAGTCATCTGTCACTATGTTATCAGCAACTTTACCAAATTCTGGAGACGCCCGTTCCAATCACCTTAGACGCCATTTCTCGCAGCCAGTGTGCCTCCTGTCACAGAAATGTTGCCTTCTTCTAAGGCAGTGGTTCCCAACCTCTCGGTCCCCAGATGTCCTTGGACTACAAATCCCAGAAATCCTGGCCAGTACAGCTCGTGGTGAAGGCTTCTGGGAGTTTTGAGTCCAAGAAATCCTAAAGTTGGGCATCACCGTCCTAAGCCAATTTTAAAAAATCATGAGACCAGTAGTCTCTTCATATCCTATGTGTGCATGTTGGTGATTATACGTATTTCTATCTCTGATGAGTTCAAAGCAGTATACATGATTATCTTCCCTACTTTATCTTCACAACAGTTCAGGGACGTGGGACCCACTGAGGCACAGCGCCCTCGGACCCCCATGTCTGTGTTCCAAGCCCCCGCGTAGGTACCATGATCTCTCGCGTGGCCTAGCGGCCAGTTCTTGTAATGACATGGTGGAAATAGATCTCTCTAGTTCGTTCGTTAATCGTGTCCGACTCTTCGTGACCCCATGGACCAGAGCACGCCAGGCCCTCCTGTCTTCCACTGCCTCCCGGAGTTGTGTCAGGTTCATGTTGGTTGCTTCGCAGACACTGTCCAACCATCTCATCCTTGGTCGTCCCCTTCTCCTCTTGCCTTCACACTTTCCCAACATCAAGGTTTTTTCCAAGGACTCTTTTCTTCTCATGAGATGACCAAAGTACTGGAGCCTCAGCTTCAGGATCTGTCCTTCCAGTGAGCACTCAGGGTTGGTTTCCTTTAGAATGGATCGGTTTGTTCTCCTTGCAGTCCAGGGGACTTTCAAGAGCCTCCTCCAGCACCACAATTCAAAGGCATCAATTTTTCGGTGGTCAGCTTTCTTTATGGTCCAGCTCTCACTACCATACACCATGACAGGAAAAAAACAGTTTTGACTATTCAGACTTTTGTTGGCAAGGTGATGTCTCTGCTTTTTAAGATGCTGTCGAGCAGTAGCTGATGCTATATACATAGCATAGTCTCTGTCTCCCTCTAGTGGTCAGCTCTAGTAACTTCACCATTAAATATAGTGTATATGTATTTCTAGGATTTTTCTTTTAATATTTTTAATATTTTCAGACCGTCGGTAAGTGAATCAGCAGATATTGATCCTGAAGGTAAGGTCCTACTGTAGCTGATCCAATGTTTATCCAGTGACACAACTGGACTAAAAATGTCAGGGGGAACCTTTGCCTTTACCTTTATTACACCCGTGTGGGTGAACTCAAGGGGAACCTTTGCCTTTACCTTTTTTAAACCCTTTATCACACCCGTGTGGGTGAATGTGTAAGTGGGCCTTATTCTTGATGCAATTTCACTGTGTTTCTTTCAGCCAGGGGTGGGACTTGTATGGCCTGTGGGCCTGATATAGCCCCGAAGACTATTTTTCTTTGCCTAGATCCCTCTCCCAGTCTCCTCCCCAGTGTTCACTCCTTGGGAAAAATCAATTAGAAATGGTCATTTTATACTCTTGGACTTATACAAGAGTAACCATTTTTCATTTAATCAAGGTGTTTGGGCATACCTTGTCCTCCAAGGGTTTATGAAATGGATTAGTTCAGATTAGATCTTTCCTTTTTCCCTCTTCCTGCTTCTGCATTATTTTCAGGACTCCTGTAGCCCTGAGTGAGCCTTGGTGGCAGAAAATTGGCTCAGACTTTCCAGAGCTTACCTACTTTTGTCTCAAACTGAGCAGAATAGGGAGCTTAATTCAGGATAAAAAGGAGAACAAGGACCAAAGCCACTTGGAAGTTTCAGGCCACTTTTCATGGAATGAAAATATTTGAACCAAATGGAGAAGGCATCTCGTGAGCTATCAGAGCATGGAAAGAGTTGTTTTTGAGGACAGTCAGGGCCTCCAAGTATCATCATTACTTTTTTTATATATACGTTGTATATGCCATCTGTCTCCTCATGTGGGACCCCAGGCAATTCACACACAATTAAAGCCATACATTAATCAGAGTTAAAAAACACTACGGGAAACTATTGTTTAAAAAAAAATCTATCGGTATTAAAATCACGATTAAAAATATTTTGATTTTTTAAAAAAATTCTGAATTCAATGAATACAACATCCTCAAAACCCCACTTTGTCACGTAGAAGCCACTTTGAAGTGGAAGATCTTTGCCTTACAATGGAACAGGTAGGAATGAAGTTAGATTCTTAGTGGTAAATTTTCTAGCGGCGTCCAAACCTTACCTTTTATGGGCCTTTTAAAGCCTTTTTAAGTGTATTTTTTCATGTTTTTTGTGGCAGTCTCTTATCCAGCATTTTTTTCCGGAGTGAACAACATAGCCTGTGTAACAAGCGGAATGAAGAGTTTTTCAGTACTGAGATGAATTGCCACAAGGGCAGTTATTTTTCAAAGATGGTAATGAGTTACAGGAATGAATTATTTCTAAAGAGTCACTTCCCGAGCTCTCTGGTAGGCTAATACCAATGCTCGTCATGTCCATGAGCCAAAGAAAAGAAGGAAAAGCGGGAATAGAGGACATGCCCTGAATCAGCCGGAGAGGGAGGGCGAGAACCTCTCAGGAGGGAAAGGTCAGGAACTAGGAGGCTGAATTAATCTGGAAAAGAGGTCCCCAGAGCATGGACAAAATACCTTTCTCTGTTTCTTCAGGTGACGAGCATAGAAGTCAGATCATGATGGGGAGTCCCCAGGAGGGAGAGACGGGAACATTAGCAGCGTTATCTCCTTGGGATGTCCCTGTTGTGGCAGCAATTTATGAGCAAAAATGCGAGACTCGTGTGGAACGAGGACAGAAGCCAGTGGAGAAGGACGGCGATTTCCACCAGCTCTTGGGGGGACTTGGAGCTTCCGTTTGGGAAACCTCCACAGCACAGTCAAAGGCCAAGAGAGCCGAAATATCCAAATATAGTCTAAGACCTTCCTGCAGCTCAGGACATGTTAGGAAACAGGATACGCAAAGCGGCGTCTACGAATGTTTTGCGTCGGAGCAAAAGACGCTACCCAAGCCGTGCCTTGTTAAACACCAGAAGATCCAAGCAGCAGCAGGGGGGGCCTCCGACTCTTGGCAGCACAGAAAGGGCTCCTCTCGGAGACCTAACGTGGTTAGTCGTCGGGGCAGCCACACGGGAAAGAAACAGTACAGATGTCCCCAGTGTGGGAACAGTTTTGCTAACAGAGCGGTATTAAAGAGGCACTTGAGAATCCACACCGGAGAAAAACCGTACAGATGCCCACAGTGTGAGAAACGCTTCATACAGCGACATCAGTTGATCCTTCACCAGAGAACGCACACGGGAGAGAAACCTTTCAGCTGCCAGGAATGTGGGAAGAATTTCTCTCGGAGAGATAATATGATCAGACATCGGAGAACTCACAGGGCGATAATGCTTTTATGAACATGTCAAGTGTGGGAAAAGGAATGCCTGCGGAAAAGTAGGATTAGGCACCAGAATATCCATGGACGAAACTGCCGTTGCTTCTAGTGTTGTGGCCAAATGTGTCTTTGCAAAAAATTATATTTATTTGTTCTGGATATTGATTTAACAGTTTGCTACAGAATACAGTGGTGCCTCGCTTAACGATTACCTCATTAAACAATGAAACCACTTGGCGATGAGGTTTTTGTGATCGCTTTTGCAATCGCATAATGATGTTCTAATAGGAAAAATTGCTTCACGATGATCAGTTCCCTGCTTCGGGAACCGATTTTTCACTAGACGACTATTTTCAAACAGCTGATCAGTGGCTCTAAAATGCCCGCCGGCTGTGCAAAATGGCTCCCCGCTGTGCTTTAGGACAGATTCCTTGCTATACAGGCACCAGAAGATGGCTGCCCTATGGAGGATCTTCACTTTACGATGAGGTATTTAGCCCATTGGAACACATTGAAGGGTTTTCAATGGGTTTTAAAAATTCGCTTGACGATGATTTTGCTTAACAGCGATTTCACTGGAACGGATTAATGTCGTCAAGCGAGGCACCACTGTATAAGCAATCAAAAGAAACACTGCAGACTCCCATGTGCATGGGGAATTGATTCCAAGCTACACTGTGCATACTGAAAATGTCAGATAATAGTGAACTGTATATATTGCATGGTCTGTGGCTCCTTCTACTGGCCAGTTCTGGTAATTACATTGTGGAACTACCTATTTCCAGTTTTTTTCTTTTAATATTTTTAAATATTTTCAGACCCAGATAAGTGAAACCATGGATGCTGATCCCACGGATACAGGGGTTCTACTATGTTACATAACAAATAATATGAGGACAATAAATTATGGAACATGAATTACGTTAAGAACATATGTAGATGTGGTTTTGCTTTGTTGTTTGGGAAATAAGTTAAAAGAAAGGTGTTATCCCAGCATATCTTTCCAAAGATTTAAATGAATTACAGTGGTGCCTTGCTAGACGATGATAATCCGTTCCACTGAAATCGCTGTTTAGCAAAATCATCGTCTAGCGAAAAGCATTTCCCCATTGGAATGCATTGAAACCTGTTTAATGCGTTCCAATGGGGAAGAATCATCGTTGTCTAGAGAAGATCGGCCATAGGAAAGCCACTTTGCGAACCGCCGATCAGCTGTTTAAATCGCTGTCTTGCGAAGCTTAGGTCCCGAAAACACCTGTTTTACGAGCGTGGAGGAAGCTGTCAAGATCGTTGTCTAGCGAAAATCTGTTTGCAAAGCAGGGACCGAACATTGTCCAGCGAAATTCCCCCATAGGAATCACTGTTTTGCGAATCACTATAGCAATCGCAAAGAGCCAATGTCTAGCGAAAAAACGGTCATGCAGGGTAACTGTCTAGCGAGGCACCACTTTGTCTGGGTGTTTTTTTATTAGCGACTTGATGGCTGCTAGGTATTATAAACTCTTTCTGTTTCAGTTGATGCATTTGATTTGTTTATATTTTGTTTTTCTTCCAAATTTCCGTGGCAGCTGCTGTTAAATAGAAAGGTGCTTAAGGCCCTGAAGTCTTTGGAATGTCATTTTTCATTTCATTATGACCAATAGAGATTGAAATTTATCTCAGTGGAGCATTCCAGTGTGTAGGACTCAGTGAGTAATTTCCTTCAGTATGAGAAATATTTTCCATGAACCATGTCACAGCCCCACAAATTGCGTTTAAAAGTAACCATAATATCACACTTCCAATATGCAACCTGGGTAGCTGATTTTTATAGGGATTAAAATGCCATTTGTGTATGACCTTCAGTTGTGCAGAATATTTTTTTTTAAACCATGGGGGGACACTTTGAAAAGAGTGCCAGATCACTGCTTTGGCTCAGCCATCCACCCACAAACATGGTCAACTGTGAACAAGCTCTGTTTCATAGAACATTTGTCATTTATTTTGCCACGTGCATCATAGTGGTCCCCATGGTACTTAAAGCTCTCTCTGGGCAGTTTACAATTTAATTATACAGGCTAACCCTGAGCTGGGGACTCAATTTACTGGCTTCAGAAGGATGGAAGGCTGAGTCAACCTTGAGCCGGTTGCCTTGAGCCCCCATCCGGATCGAACTCAGGTTGTGAGCAGAGTCTTCACTGCAGTACTGCAATTTAACCACTGCACGATGAGGTTTTTAATGCAAGACGTTGTGACCCTTCAAACATTGCTGAACAACTCTCATCAGCCACAACCAGTGGCTAATAAATGTGGACGTTGTAGTGCCACAACATCTAGAAGGCCACTGCTTGTATTAGTGAAGGCTTTGAGACTATTGGGGAAGGAAACCAGCAAAGTAAAAGAATGGACGGGCGTAAGTTCTCAGAAAACCATCCAAAATCTATTGAAATGTCTGCATTGTGCCATCAAGCAAAGCAGCTTGGCCTTCTCTTGAGGATGGTAGAAAGTATGGTGACAGGAGAAGACGTGCTACAAAACATACTGGAGAGGTATCTCGGAGTGTCCTTCATCTGAGAAAAACCTTGACCGTGCTATAAGCACCAGACGAAGAGGGGAGGGATTGTATGTATGCGCCGAGGGCAGGAGAAGCTTCAAACCTCAGATCCATCTTGGAGAGATATCGGAGGAGTTGCAAACTCCACAACCCTTCCAAAGGCCTCAAACTGAAGATAGTATGATGATGGGAGACAATCTGAACATCCAGACTGGAGAGAAAAGACCTTTAGAGGTCCTCTCAGGATGGGAGATTGCGCCATTGCAGGAGAACGAGGGAGTGATCCGCTCCTCCGTAGCGGAGGAAAAGAAGCCCTGTGTTCTTGGTAGGGAAGAGCCTCCTTTTGGATAGATAAGTGGACCAGACCTTTTAGAGAATCTGCAGAGGAAACCCACTCTTATAAATGGGTCCCTGAACGGAAAGAATTTCAGTTGGAAAGATCCAGTAGTTGGGCCTCAGAGCATCTGCTGAGAGTGTGGGACAGACTTCAGCGTGTATAAGCAGGCTTCTGGGCTCGGCTCCAGATGGGGACCCAATGAAGGAGGCAAATGGTTGAAGCCAATCTCTTCCCACTTCCTGTAGGGAAAGCGTACGCCCTCCGTGTGGTCCTTACACTAAGCATTATAACCCTTGTACCATTCCATGTTTGGGGTCAGGCTGCAAATTGAAATGGACAAAAATTCCCCCAAGGGTCGGTTTTCTTAAGGAACGCTGGGTATTTTTTGTCTTTGGAAGCTTTACTGAGCCGGCGTGGTGTAGTGGACAGAGTGTTGGATTAGGACTCAGGAGACCTGGGTTCAAATCCCTGCTTGGCCATGAGAAACCTTACTGGGAGGCTTCAACAATAGACCGATCCTTACCCTTATTATCTCGCAGGCCCTATTAGAGTCTCCAAAAGTTGGAAGCAACTTGACCGCACCTAACAAATAACACAACTGAAAAAATGTGCAATGCCAGGAGTCCTGTGTCACTTTGCCAAATGAGTTTTTCCCGGTTGGGGTTTCAAGCTGTTCCTTTACCCGTTCAAAATGGAGGAAATGGAAGATGTAAACAGGCAGGTCTTGTGGCTTAGAAAAAAAAGAATGATTTTCCAGAACTTCCCCTCACGTGGGCCAGGGTTTCTGGGTGTTGCGGCCCTCCATTGCAAGTCTTTGGCTCCCCCCCCCCAACATGGCAGCCTCCAGGTGTCTTGGAGTACAACTCCCATCTCTTGATAGGGGACGAGGGAGGTTGTAGTCTAACACATCCCAAGGATTTGGGTTTTGGGGGAAATGATAGTTCTGGACATCACACTTGAACCACAATGCCAATAAAATGGAGCAAGTTCAGAGGAGGGCAACAAAGATGATCCGGGGATTGGAAACTAAGAACTAAGGAAAGGCTGAAAGAACTGGGCTTTGAGAAAAGATGAAGGGGAGAAAGGATAGCATTTTTCAAATACTTGAAAGGCTGTCATACGGAGGAGGGGCAGGACCTGTTCACTATCATCCCAGAGTACAGGACACGTAATAATGGGCTCAAACTACAGGAAGCCAGATTTAGGCTGTATATCAGGGGAAAAAATTCTTAACTGTTAGAGCAGTACAACAATGGAATCAATTACTTTGGCTGATGGTGAGCGCTCCAGTGCTGGAGACATTTAAGAGAAAATTGGACAACTATCTGTCAGATCTTCTTTCCCTCAGATTCCTGCTTTGAGCAGGGGGTTGGATCCGATGGCCTTATAGGCCCCTCACAACTCAATTATTTTGTGATCCTATGAGATCCCTTCCTTATCTCAAGATGAGCAGAAGTACAGTACCTTTTTCATGATAAAAACAACGAGGCACACAGACTTGGTTTGCAAAAAGTACAGTAAATTATGTAAAGCAAGAAACCAACCTGACCAAGGGGCTGGAGGAACTCCAGTGGAATGAGAGGGTTGCAATAAGATGCTTGTATAAGGGACGGGGGGGACAGTGAGTAAAGGGAAGCCTGATAGCAATGTATAAAATCATGCATTCTACAGAGGAATCAGTAGGGATGATGATGATGATGATGATGATGATGATGATGATGATGATGATGATGATGATGTATTATGGTCCATGACCAGGAAGTGAATAGAGATAAGTTTTCTCTGTCCGTCATGTACTAGAAGCAAGAATCATCGGCTAACGGGATTCAAAACAGATTTCAAATGGCTTCTTCAGACATCCAAGCAGAATCAAACTGGGATTCACCACCATAGTATTGGGGGATACCAGTCTACATGCACAGCTTTCAAAAAGAACTAGAATAAATTTATAGCTGTTAATGCCATCAATAGGTACTGGTTAGGATATCTGTCGCCACCACTACTCAAGGGTCCCTTGAGTACATTCTTCTTAAGTTGATAGGATCGCGTTTATTCCATACTTTTCCCAAGTGCCACAAATTCAAGGCAGCTTGAGTTTCTTTGTTACTCTGGCCAGAATCCTAGCAGGGAATTACACTGGTGTACATGTAATTGTGTAGATCACGGTAACTGCAGATTAATGAGTGGTCCCACCAAGTCATGGGAATCAGAATCTGAGTAGCAATTCATTGCCGTGATTCATATGATTGCACTTAGGGTGGGGTAAACCCTCAGAAGGATTCTAGCCTCTCACTTCCACATTTTACTTCAGAGCGAATGCATGGGGACATATAAGAAGGGCAACAGAATCGTAGAGAACAGAATATATATACAATAGGACCCCCATATCTGTGGGGGGTTGGTTCCAAGCACCGCCCCCATGGATGCCAAAAACTGCAGATCATAGCAAAAACTATACAGTGGTGCCTCGCTAGACGATTGCCTCGTGGGACGAAAAACCCGCAAGACGATTGTTTTTTGTGATCGCAAGACGTTTTTGTCTATGACCGTGCTTTGCAAGACTTTTTTTTTGAGACCGATGCTTCGCAAGACTTTTTTTTTGAGACCGATGCTTCGCAAGACTTTTTTTTTGAGACCGATGCATAGGGAACCTCGCAAGACTATTTTTTTACAAGACGATTTTCGCAGAACAAATTAAAATCGTCTTGCGAGACACCAGTGTACATAGCATGGTAAAAGAAATATTTTCACATGCATTGCTAGAACTGGCCACTAGAGGGGAGCAGAGACCATGCGATGTACATATTCTTCACCAACAAGAATTCATAACACAATCTCTGGCTCCCTCTAGTTGTCAGTTCTGGTAGTGTGAAATTTTATTATTTTACTATTTTCAGACCGTGGATGAGTGATACGGCAGATACTAATATGGGGCCCTATTGTATATCTGCCTGGCAGATGCTTTCTGAAGTCAACTATTGAGGGCAGGAGGGCGGGCCAGTAATAAGGAACTTGGAGGACTGTGACTGAGTTAGCCAGAGTGTAGACAAAAATTCTTCTGTCTTTCTCTTCAGGTGAGAAGAACAGCTTGATCAAGATGGAGAACGCTCAGCAGGGAGAGGCCATGCCAGCATTAACAGAAATGAATCCGTGGAACCTGCCTCTGACGACAGCCTTTTATGAGCAAAGATACGAGGCCAGCCAGGAGCTTGAGAGGAAGCGTCCAGAAGAAGATGGAGGATCTGGGAGGTTCTCGGAGAGCCTGACGATTGCCATGGGAGAAAACTCCAGAACGTGGGACTCGAGACCTAGGAAATTCTTGGTCTCCAAATACGGGAGAAAGTGCAACTACAGGTTAGGTTTTGTTATGAAACATCCTGCGGAAGACCATTACGGACATCCCATGTCTGGCGAAAACCTCCAGGAAAAAACGTACCTTGTGACACCCCAGAAAATCCAGCCTGGGAGGAAAGCACACGATGGTTCTGAGTGCGGGAAGAGCTTCCAGCCGAGATCTAAGCTGGTTAGACACCAGAGAACCCATACGGGGGAAAGTTCCTACGAGTGCCTCGAGTGCGGGAAAAATTTCATTTCCCGAGCGACGTTAATGGTGCACCAGATCATCCATACCGGAGAGAAACCGTTCGGATGTCCTCAGTGTGGGAAGTGTTTCAATCAGAGAACAAACCTGTTGAGGCACCAGAGGATCCACACTGGGGAGAAAGTACACGAATGCCCCAAGTGTGGGAAGAAGTTTTATCGGAAAGATAAGCTCATTCTGCACCAAAGAGTTCACACAGGGGAAAAACCTTACGAGTGCCTCCAGTGTCACAAAAGTTTTACTGCTAAAGAGAAATTATTGAGGCATCAGAGGATTCATCTAGGTTATTAACTAGAGTTTGTGCTTGACGTGTAACTATCTTGCTACCCACGATAGGCTCCCACCCGGGGGGTAATGACATATCAATAACATACGGGGTGGGTTGCACGAATGCACAAATCTTCTTTGTTCCTAATTATTTCCATTCCTGGAAAGGATCATCTTAAGAAAGGTCATGCCTAATTTTTTGTAGAGTTAATACATTCCATTTGAGCTGCTTTACAGAAGGTCTCTGTTACACTGAGGGAGCATTTCAAAAGCCTCCCAACTCCCCCAAAACAAGGTGCTGATTCCAAGGAATGCACTAAAGTCATCATCATCTTAGAACTGCAGCGCTGGAAGGGACCCTATGGATCATCCAGTCCAGCCCTGTCAAAGAGGTACCAGAGGGATTCAAACTCCCAGCCCAGACAGAGACCTAAACCACAGAGCTATCCGGCCGTTCCCTGTTTTACACCACAAGCTCATTCCTGCAGGATTTGGGTTTTTGTTTTGTTTTGTGGTTGGCCTTCCTGATGGGTTGTACTGTAAATAACCTCATAGTAAATTCTCATTCTCAAGTTTTGTATTGGTCCAAAAGACGTAACGCAGTGAAATGAAATTTCAGTATATTATAAGTTCGCTCCAGGCTACTTAAGGAAATAAGTGGGAGTTGTTTGTTTGTTTTTTTTAATGAGAAACTAAGCAGCTCCTTTTGGGTTGGAAATCTGTAGAGTTCTCAGGGTTTAATTGCCAAGCCTGCCTCTGGCGTTCGTTTCCCCCAACCAAATTCAGCCACTCCGAATTTTTCCTACTCTCAAAAGCAATGTATTCTTCCTCACTGTGCTTCTGTCACTCTGTCAACTGCTGTGTATACTGATATCCGTATTTAGATTTCTAAGAAACGCAAAACCAGTAATAAAATGCCCTATTTCATCTTCTTCCCCTTCAGCGAGGAAGAGGAAAAATGTTAAGTGTGATCAATAAAAAAGCAATACATTCAGTTTCTCCTCTTTGATTATGAGACCAAATGTTGTTGACTATGAGGTTTAAATATTTCCTGTATTGGTGTGGAAGGTCTCACTGTGTTACAACTTCGTGTCTGTCTCTATTTTAATTAAAGGCGGATGACTAAGAACAAGCTCTGATGAAGCCAGTTCTGTCCCAGGTGGCTTCTGTTAGGACTAAGATGCAGTTCTACAAGGTGTGGACTTCTAGATGTGGTGGGACTACTGCTGTTTTCATCATCCTTCACCATTAGTCGTGCTAGCTGAGGCTGATGGGAGCAGAAATCCAATCCCATCTGGAGGATGATACATTTCCTTACACCGGCGCTAGGAAATATAGATTGGAAGAAGGGATGCAGAACGAATTGCCTTTTCCAGATTGTCATGATGTTTCAGGCTTTGTATTATGACTCCCTTTAACTAGAGGGACGTGGTGGCACTGTGGGTTAAACTGCAGAAGCCTCTGTGCTGCAAGGTCAGAAGACCAGCCGTCCTAAGATCGAATCCACGCAACGGAGTGGATTTAACTACAGTGGCCCAAATCCTGTTGCTAAGCACAGTAGAGTAGGCCCATTTGAATCAATGGGGATTTGGTAGTCGACTCTTTCATAAGTTCCATTGATTCATATGGGCTTACCTTAACTATCACTTACTTTAGCAGTCAGGGTGGGCCCCTTTGACTAGGGTCCAAACAGGAAATGCATTTTAATTTATCATGTTTCCTCTCGGATGCGGCAAGCAGGCTGCTCAAAGCTTTCTGTGTAAATTGTGGTGGCGACAGGATGCTAATAACCCTTGCTTGCTTCGTTAATAAAGCCGGATGAGGACTCACACTGTGTGTTTTATGTTGCCTTTGTGACAGCACTTGATAAGTTGTGACTCCCTTTGGCAATAAAATCTTCTCTGCCCAGAATTGAGTGACGCCATGGGATATTTTGCCTGTTTTTGTTCAGCTGGAAAAGAAGGTATTGAAATATATGTACATTAACCGCCCATCTGGTCTGGTCGACCACTCTTGTTCAGCTGGAAAAGAAGGTATTGAAATATTTATATGTACATTAGGGACTTACATGGTATCTTTCTATTTTTGACATATATCTCAGAACGAGTAATAATAATAAAAATTACTCTCCCCCAATACAAATAAGTAACTGAACAATAGCATTATGATAAACAAATGGGGGGGACAAGAAGAGTAGCTGTTTCTTGACCAAGTGGTTCCCAACCTTGGGTCCCCAGATGTTCAAGAAGTAAGAAATTCTGTTTGGACAGAAGAATGGACGGGGGTGGGCTTGATGACCCTTGAGGTCCCTTCTGGCTCTGCCATTCTGTAATTCGGGAACAAGGCAGCCTTTTAAATCATAACAGAAGGCAGCAAGCGAGCCTGTTGGGGACAGCGTGAGCAGCCAGAGGTACAGAACTCTGTCCTCCCTCAGACCTTCACACCGGGCATAACAGAAGGCAGCAAGCGAGCCTGTTGGGGACAATGTGAGCAGCCGGAGGTACAGAGCTCTGTTCTCCCTCAGACCTTCACACTCTTTACCTCTTTACCTGCCTTGGCTGCCTACGACCACCGACTCAGTCTGCCCAACAGTAGGCCCAACCCCAGGTGGACGGGGAGAGACCCTGAGTGAAGGGATACCAAAGTCCAGAGAGGGTCATAAGGTTGCCCATACTAGTCTCTGCCTGGTTGGCCTGACCACTTACAAATACGGGGAGAGACCCTGAGTGAAGGGATACCAAAGTCCGGAGAGGATTATAAGGTTGCCCATACTAGTCTCTGCTTGGTTGGCCTGACCACTTACAAATAGTGGTGCCTCGCTAGACGATGATAATCCATTCCACTGAAATCGCTGTTTAGCGAAATCATTGTCTAGCGAAAAGCATTTCCCCATTGGAATGCATTGGAACCTGTTTAATGCATTCCAATGGGGAAGAATCGTCATTGTCTAGCGAAGATTGGCCGTGGGAAAGCCGCTTTGCAAACCGCCGTTTAAATCGCTGTCTTGCGAAGCGTAGGTCCCGAAAACACCTGTTTTGCGAGCGCGGGGAAAGGTATGTCTAGCGAATGTCTAGCGAAAAAACTGTCATGCGGGGTAACCGTCTGGCGAGGCACCACTGTAAAGTGAATTATTAGACGGGCACTTCAAGTCTCTAAAGAAAGTCAAGCCTGAGTTAGCAGGCGGTGCTCCTGGATTTTGCTATCACAGAGTGGTCCTTGGCCAGATGGGTAGTATAAAATTAGATAGATAGATAGATAGATAGATAGATAGATAGATAGATAGATAGATAGATAGATAGATAGATAGATAGATAGATAGATAGATAGGGCACACATAAAATGAGGGACTCAGCATGTCTATTGAAATATATTGGTTCCTGCCCTTGAGGGACCGGATTCCACCCATCTTTCCATGTGTTGCGGGAAGCATTCAAAATGCATTGCATTTTTAATAGCTGCTGGGAGGAACTGTAAACAGAAAAAGTAGCCCGTTGGAGGTAAACAAACAAACCCAGAATCCGAAAAGGAGAGAGAGTGTGTATGTTTCTTTCCCTCGATCGCACGAGCACCGGAAATCGGAGGGCGTGTGTCCCCCTCCTCTCTTTCCCCCTGCCTCTTTGGTCCTCCCTCTCTCCCGCTCCACCCCTGTTATTCATAAATATGGGGATTTGTGTGTGTGTGTGTGTCTGTATATCTATAAATATATATATTTTCCTCCCAGGGGAAGGTTTGCCCTCTCTTCCTAAGTACTGGGGGCGGCAGAAAGGGTTAATTCCCGATTCCTGGAGGACCTGGGAAATTTGAGAAGGGAGGTGGGGTGGGAGGGACTGGAAGTGGTGTAAGAATATATTTTTCCCCTCCCATCGCCCGCCTTTCCTGCTTCCTTGGGAGGGGAAAATATGCTTGCTTTTGAATGGCTGCGAGGGAGAAATGAGTTTTAAAGGGCCCGATCGGGCAAGTGGCAACGAGGGAAGAGAGGTAACCAGCAGAAAATGAACCAGGTGAAACTCAGAGATTAATAAATATCTTGGCTGGGCAATGGGCCATCATTTTGCGGTGGATGATGGTCTGTTTAATTCTTTAGCTGGTGGCAAGGGTGCCCCTGTAGCTAAGCTTTAGGCGGGGTGGGTGGGTGTCCAAACCAGCAAGCTTTCTCCAATTCCCAGAACCTGGGAGCTAGTTGAAAAGTTCGTTTATTTATTTTATTATATTTATTTAAAATATTTTTATCCCACCTTTCTCCTTAAAAAAAAAAAAGGATCCATTCCCAGTTTTAAAACGTTCAGGGGGAAATCAGTGAATCTTTGAAGCTAGCAGCAGTTTCCTCTCTAAACCTTGATATGGGGGTAGGTCCCATTCCTGGTGAAGGGAGAGACCCACCCCTTTGCAATTTATTTTTATTTTCTATTATTTTTATGGGTCAGCCAAGGGGGCGACTGGGTTTTGAGGCGGGTGAGATGTTCAAGGAGTGATTGTTATTTTTTCCTCCCGCTGCCTAGTAGGGATTGGAACTCAGATCTCTTTAGAATCTTAGTCAGACAATCTTGCCTGCTGAGCTATACTTTACTCAAAATTGCACTTTATATTGCAAGAATAATGCGAAGATTGCTAGCAGTGCCTTTTAGCACCACTTTAATCAGTGTGGAGAACTGGTTTTCTAGGGCTTACCCCTAGAAACAACAGAAAATAAAATTAAATCACAAATTTGGCTATGGAGCCAGAGGTGAGGAGTTCAATTCCTCGGGGGGGGGGCAGCTCCTGCAAGTTGGATAAGCTGCACAGTCCCAGAAATGCCTCCAGAAGAAGGACTGTTATTCATCATCATACACTGTAGCACTTAATGCTAGCATAACTGCCCCATAACATTTTGACAGTATTCTTTTTTGTTTTTCAGAGAGCCTCGTCTCTTCATGATGTCCTATTTATTTATTTATTATATTTATATCCCACCCATCTAGTCATTCGACTACACTGGGCGGCGTACAGCATACAAAATAAACAATTAAAATAGCATCATTATCAAGATTTAAAAACCATTCAAGATGAGGGAAAAAATAAAGAAGATAGATTAAATAGTGCCTGGAGGGAAGCCAAGTTTTTAACTGGTTTTTAAAAATACCCAGTGAAGGGGCCATACAGATCTCTGGAGGTAAATTATTCCATAAACGAGGAGTGTGCCCAAAGTATGACAGCTTCTGTTTTGTGGGGCTTTTTCGCTTCGAGAGAAACAGTTCAGGCTTGAGAGAGTTTTGGACAACTCTAGAATCTCTCTGGATATCTTTTTGATGTTTTGTTCTGTGAATCTTTTTCCTGCAGGGTCCAATCCTGCGTACTGTTTAGGAGTTCCTCCCAGGGAAAGCTCTTGGGGACGAGCAACGTGAAGCAAAAAAAAATAAATAAAATAAAATCAATAATATCAACCGCATGACCCTTTTTCAGTAGCCAGCGACTCAGCCGTCTCCCTCCTGAGGCTCCGCATCTCACCAGGAGGATTCCCCAAAGGGCCATTTTGAGACAGAGAGAAGAGCTCCAGAATTCAAAATGGCGGAGAGGCTGGAAGCTCCCGGAAAAGGTGACCACATCATCCAGGGGACAAGCTCGAAGGAGTTCTTGGGGCAAACAACTCTGCAAAATGGCAAACTGCCGCCTCTTGAGAGGTTTCCCCAGCTGTGGGTGGCCCAATGTCAAGAGTTCCTCAGAGTCCTGCATCACCATCACTTAGGGTGGGAAAACCCAACACTGGCCAAACTCGGACCGTGGGATGATGCCAAGGCTTTCCTAGCTTCTTTTGAGCAAGTTGCCGAAGCCTGCCGATGGCCGAGAGGAGAATGGGCAGCCCGGCTCCTGCCAGCCTTGAGCGGAGAAGCCGAAGGGGCCTTCAGCAGCCTCGAAGCCGGAGACCGGGAGGACTATGAGAAAGTGAAGGCTGCCATCTTGCGAATAGAAGCCAACAGGATGGAGACGCTGCGCCAGCACTTCAGGCAATTCCGCTACCAGGGAGTCGAAGATCCGCAGAGGATTTATGGGCAGCTTCGGGAGCTTTGCCACCGGTGGCTGAAGCCAGAGAGACGCAGCAAGGAGCAGATCCTGGAGCTGCTGATTCTGGAGCAGTTCCTGGCTATTCTGCCGCAGGAGATGCATGCGAACGTCAAATCGTGGGATGCAGATACAGACTCCCAAATGCTGGTGGAGGGATTTCGGAGACATCCCCAAGAGGCCAAGACTTGGGAATGGCAGGTGAGAGCCAATATGACACAGTGTGAGAAGCAGTGTTGTGTAGTGAGCAGAGTAGAGTTAGGAAGGGAGACTCAGGCGATCTGGCTTCTAGCCCCGACAGCTCCCTGAATCTCACCGGGTGACCTTGAGTGGATCAATGGGGAGGCCCTTGAGGTCATGGCCATGAGATCATACGTGGAAAGGAAGATTTGAACTATAATCTCTGAATATTTACAGTGGTGCCTCGCATTACGACGTTAATTCGTTCCAGCGAAATTTCTGTAGAACGAAAACGTAATGCGAAAAGGAAAAACCCATTGAAACGCATTAAAACCCATTTAATGCGTTCCATAGGGCTGTAAACTCACCGTCCAGTGAAGATCCTCCATAGGGCGGCCATTTTCGCTCCTGTTCAGCAAGGAATCCATCCCAGAAAATAGCGGGGGGCCATTTTGTTTACCCGGCGGCCATTTTGAAACCGCCGATCAGCTGTTGGAAAATCGTTGTTTTGCGAAGAATTGGTTCCCGAAGCAGGGAACTGATCATCACAAAGCGAAATTCCCCCATAGGAAACATTCAAAGTAATGTGGTTTCATCGTTAAAGAAACATCGTTTTGCGATCGCAAAAAGTTCCTTGTAATCCGGTTTCATCGTTAAACGGGGCAATCGTAATGCGAGGCACCACTGTATTCATCTTCAACTCCACATAGCTGGATTCTATTTCAGTGTCTGAAGAAGGAAAAAAAGGGCTGAAATCCTATTGAGAATTTCTGCATGTATCAGTGAAATAATGTAAGTCATGGTGGTGAATTGTTGCTAATTAATAAGGTGCCAGTTACATTCCTGGTCTCATGCCCATCATGCAACCTGGAAGGCAACCAGCACCTTCTGAATTAGTCACAAGTTGCCACACTGACCTAACGTATGGGCTTGAATCACCATGGGTTTTTCACCATTGACCGAAATGCCTTGAGAAATGAATGATCCCTCATTAGAAGTTTCATATTTTGGTACTGTATTATTATTTTTAATAATATTATTTTTAATTATCTTTTTCACTGATTGGAGAAGTAACATGACATCATGATTAATGGGCTATCATGGGCAGTTTTTAAACAGAGGTTGAATGGCCGTTGGTGAGGAATGTTTTGGCTGTGGATTTACTGCTTTTTCGGGTGGTGGTGGTTAGATTATTATTATATTGGTGCCTCGCTTAGCGATTGCGTCATTTAACTATGTATTCGCTTAGCGATGAGGTTTTAGGAGCAATCTTGCGCTCCGTTTAGCTATGTTTCCAGTGGGGGAATTTTGCATAGCGATGTTCGGGACCTTGCTTCGCTTAGCGATGACAGTATAGGTCCCCCTGTTTCACTTAGCGATGTTTTTGACAGCTGTTTTCGCTATTTTTAAAAAGTGTTAAATTGTTTAAAAAGGGTTTAGAGTGCTTGAAATTGTTAGTGCACTTAATAAACCCTTTGTTAACCAAATTTGTTCATTCTGACTCTTTTTGAATTTTTGGTGATTTTTTTCTCCCCCATTGAAATGCATTGAAGAGGTTTCAATGCATTCCAATGGGGGAACCGCGTTTCGCTTAGCGATGTTTCCTATGGCGATTTTCGCTTAAGGAAGCCAATCCGTTCCCATTGGAACGGATTATCTGGTTTTCAATGCATCTCTATGGGAAAACGCGTTTCGCTTAGCGATGTTTTCCCATAGCAATGAATTTTTTTGAACCAATTAAAATCGTTAAGCGAGACACCACTGTATTATTATTATCATCATCATCTTAGAATGGCAGAGCTAGAAGGGACCCTATGAATCATCAATGGATGACTCTCAGGGATCCTTTCTAAGTCTGTAGTTCTGTGGTTCTGTGGAAGGAACTAGGTAGTCTGTGTGAGGCAAGAATTAAAATTTGAAGCTAGTAAACACAGTGGGACCAGGAGCATCTATCAAGGAGCAGCTCTGACACCAAAAAAGTGACAGGCAAAGCTTTGCCAGCTGTTGACAACGTGGATCTTGAGTTGCTTTCTAACTCCATGATTCTAGGATTTCAGGCCCACATTTGAACAATGGGGGGACCACATACATGCCACCTAAAGTCAATGCTCTCAGGCTCCTACGAGCCTTATGAGACTCTCCCTCTTTCCAACTCTCTCTCTCTTTTTTTCTGAGTGGGTTCTTCCATCTTCCTTTCAGGTGCCACTGGACAAAGTGTCTGTGAGTCCCTCAAGCACGGCAGAGACAACTGAGAGTCGAATCTATGCAGAGGCTAAGGAGAAGATCAACAAGGACCTCTGTTTGCTAGGTGAAGGTTTGTTAGGCCGGCAAAGGAATCTTCCAACCCCCCTTCAGATGATTTTGGAATATGAGTATTAGGCTCATTCCTGGATTACTCTTTTTGGGGGGGTTTATTTTGTGTTCATAGGGCAGCAGATTGGCTTAGGGCAGGGCAGGGGAAAACACAGCCATCTTGATTATAATTTGCACGAGTCTGACCCAGGATATGTTGCAGAGTTTCGAACTTCTTGTTAAATTCCTCAAGCTGTGCAGCCGAAGTTCAGGGATTCACAGAGTGGAACAGCTTCATGTTCCACAGAGTAGACCACTCCTTTTCTCATTCACTGGCAAATACAGTCTCAGTAACTCATTCTGAGACATTACTGAGAAACAATAGAAACCATTTGTGAACCGATCAAATAGCAAACAGACAAACACGACTGTATTCAGCAAGAGAAGGCAGCAAATTCCAAACAGACCTCCAACAGGCCAAAGAAAGAGAGGAAAGGAGCAGAGCAGAAAGGCAGGGCCCTCTTTGAATTCAGAGATAGGAGAGAATGATTGGTTGGTGCTGGATAGATAGTCACCCCAGGCCAGAAAACGTACCTCCCAGCCAAGGTTTCCTCTATAGTGTGTGTGCTTGCGTGCAGGTTCTTCCAGCTACCTCCATGCTGCTTTTCTCCTCTTCCGCCTAGCGATTGTTTTCAGCCCTTTGGTTCCGGTCACGATTGAACCCCCATGCACCAGGGGCAGATTCATGGGCACACATGCAGGGGCAGAGCTACGAGAGAGAGGTGGAGCCCCAGCCAGCAGATCTGAAAATGAGAGAGGGTACTAGCCAAATCTACAGTGGTGCCTTGCTTGACGAGGATAATCCGTTCCAGTGAAATCGCTGTAGAGTGAAATCCTTGTCAAGTGAAATAAAAAAGCCCATTGAAACGCATTGAAAACCGCTCAGTGCGTTCTAATGGGCTAAATACCTCAGCGTCCAGCGAAGATCCTCCATAGGGCGGCCATTTTCCGATGCCTGTGCAGCGAAAAATCTGTCCTAAAGCACAGGGGTGAGCCATTTTACACAGCAGGTGGCTATTTTGGAACCCGACAATCAGCTGTTTTGATAGTTGTAATGTGAAGAATTGGTTCCCGAAGAAGGAAACCGATCGTCGGGAAGCGAATTTTGCCCATTAAAACATCATTTTGTGATCGCAAAAGCTATCGCAAAAAACTCATCGTCAAGGGGAGTCATCGTTTAATGAGGTAATCGTTAAGCAAGGCACCACTGTACTAAAGTCAGCATGTGAGGGTGGAAAACAAACAACTAGACAAACATCCAGCAGGATAGTCAGTGATGAGGGCTGAAGGAGCCGTCCAACAACATCTGAAGGCCCTCGCGTTCCTCGTAGGGCAGGAAGGATGATTAAACTATGGTGTTTCTGCCCTATAGAACATTGTTTCTGCCCTACAAGGTTCTGTAGGGCAGAAACACCGTGCTTTAATTTTTCTCCTAAAATATTCTCCTTTTTCTTTCTCAGCCAATGGCATCACGGCCCCAGATCACCCTAACGCGGTGCTTCCTCCTGAAGAACAAGACGTGGCTGAAGCTGGGCTCGCAGAGGTACGTGACATTCCGGTGGAGTCTGCTAGGAAAAGGGATCATTAATATCTTAATTTAACGTTGAGCTGTTTCATTTAATGTAAGGTTCAACGGACAAACTCAGGGGGCTGGTTTTAAGCATGAGAGGCTAGTTGAGCCATGTGGGGCCAGAACTTTGGCAGGGTATTGAAAGTTGTCATGGGCGATGATTTTTGGTAGGTGCTGACTGAGCACTTTCATTGTGGTTTAAAAGCATTTGCCGGATCTTGGATCAGGATAGGATTTTTTAAAATTTATTGGACTATAAATCCCATGATTACCTGTTTTGAGAGTTCTGCCTCTCTTACAGAGACCTAACGTTTGGCTCACCTGAGACACAAGGCCTAAATTGGAAGGTTTTGAGGGTGAGTTAGGCCTGGTTCTGCCTACCTTCCTGTTCAGAAAGAAATTTCCCACCTAACACTGGGGCAAGAACAGGAAGCTCAAGTAGAGCTAGGCACAGCTAAGGCTCAAAGCCTTCCAGGTGAGGCCTTTTCTCCCAGGTGAGCCAAATACAGATGCCTCTAAACTATGCAAGGTCAGGTAGAACTTGGCAGAAGGGAGAATTATGGGATTTGTAGTAAAAAAAAAAACCCTGAAAATCCCATCCCTAGTCTTGAATAAGGTTGCAGATAGTCTTGAGTGTAGAACTGGGGGAATTAGCTTTCTGTTCAGTTGACCCATAAGCAGGCCCTGTGTTCCAAGGGTGAAGAAACGGGTGCTCTACTCCCAAACTGGAGAGCAAGAGAAGAGGTCAGGGCTTTATAGGGCCTGGTGGACAGGGATTGGCCCTTGGGAGGGTCAGCTGACAGAACACTCAGCCCAGATGCTACGGGACCCCAGAGGGGAAAACAGAAAACCAGATGAGATGGGCGATGGGCATACTGTTCGAAACCCATTTGTTTCCTGTTATCATAGGCAAAAATTTCTTTTTTATGTGTTATATTTTAGACTGGTACAGTAGGACTCCCATATCCATGGGGGATCGGTTCCAAGTCCCCCTTGTGGATGCTGAAAAATGTGGAATACTATAATTATACGTCTCTGGCTATTTTTATTGGCCAGTTCTGTTAACTTCATCGTTAAATCTATATATATTTTTTTGGGCGGGGGGAGAGATTTTCTTGTAATATTTTCACAACTGGCTATTTTTATTGGCCAGTTCTGTTAACTTCATCGTTAAATCTATATATTTTTTTTGGGGGGGAGAGATTTTCTTGTAATATTTTCACAACGTGGATAAATGAATCAGCGGATAGTGATCCTGTGGATAAGGGGGTCCTACTGTACTAGACTGTAAGACCTACTTGGGGGAATGGCATGCTTTACTATTTCAGGGGAGTGTGCCTTTGAATGACGTGGCTGGGGCTTTGGACAACACGGAATGGTCTACATTAAACCCCACACAAGGAACAATGCATTGGGAAGTCATGCAGGAGAACTCCGAGGACATCAGCTCTTTGGGTAAATACGCCCTGCTCTTTTTCTCACGTGGGGGAGGAGAAGGCATGTCAAGTTGTACAGATAGTTTTCATCATCATCATCATCATCATCTTAGAACTGCAGAGCTGGAATGGATCCTCTGGATCATGGAGTCCAACTCCGGTCAAGGAGGCCCAGTGGGGAATTGAACTCCCAACCACTGAGCAGCAGTTCATCTCAGATGCTTCCTCTTCTTTGGAGATGGAAAACCTCTGTCCCTCTGAATGTGGTGGGGATCCAGTTCGCCTCACCTTAGGGCAGCACAGCCAATGGTGAGGGATCAGAGGCCAGGAAAACCTCTCTCTCTCTCTCTCTCTCTCTCTCAGGGCTTCCGATTTATTAACTCTTACGCTTCACGATAGGTACAACATACTGTACATCTAAATGTGCACAGAGTAGCCGGCTGTCTTCTAAAGAGCCTGTTGGGGATGGAGGAGCTCTTGAAGAGAGCTAGGGAAAGTCAGTTCTTGGACTAAAACTCTCAGAATTCCTCATTAGACCTATTGGAGGAATTCTGGGAGTTGTAGTTCATTTTCCAGAGGTCTGAGAGAAAATAATATAAGAGTGGTTTCCTTCTAGATTGGAATGGCTACAGAGCTCCTTCCAGCACTAGAAATAACAGGCAGATGAAAACATGTTCCAAGAGGAACCGATCTCGTCACATTTGATGGGAGTCCCTGCAAGTTTTATGATTTGATTTGATATTTGATTCGATGTATATATAGATGGGTATACCTCCCCACCCCATCTAGCCTAAGGCCATTCTCGGTGGTTCATAACATAAGCATACAGTAACAACACTACGGCTGTAAAATAAAATCAGCATCATAAAATAAAACAATAATTAAACACTTGCATAATTAACCATTGCAACTAAGCATTAAATATTTAAAAGGTGGTAAGATTGACGTTGTGGCTCAAATTTTCAGTGGGTTTCCACGGATGGAAATGCTGCCTGTTTAAACAACCACATTTTTAGAGGGTTTTTTTTTTTAAGTTCTCAGTGAGGGGGCCAAGTGGATCTCTGGAGGTGCAACCGCCGAGAAGGCCTGACGCCTAGTTCTCTCCCTTCGGGCGTCTCTCAAGGTGAGCACCCTCAGACATCCCGTCTGGGACGAACAAGGAGGACGAATAAGTTCTTGCTGGAAGAAAGTGTCCGGCCAGGTCCTGAAGGAATAGGGTGCCGTCATATTGATGAGATGCCAACTTGATTGAGCAGAGGAGAGGGTGCTGGCTTTTGTGGACAAGGAAGGTTGATTAGCCTCTGAAGGGCACCGCAAAGGCTACCACAGGATTGGGGGAACCCACAGTTTCCAAAAATAAAAGAAAGTCTTTATAAGGACACGTTCCCCTCCCGGAAAGGGTAGAACCCCAAAGGCTGCTGAAGGCAATGGGTGCTTGATAGACACAGCATGCTGGCTGTTTCAATAGGTGTGTGTATGTTCGTGTGTGTGTTGAGGTAGTAAGTACACATGGAAAGGGCTGAGAGGAGACCTGGAACAGGAGATCGCCACACAGCATTATTTTCCATTCGGTCCCACTTGCTAAAGTTCTATTACCCTCAACCTTCAACCCTCAGCCTAAATCAGGGGTCAGGGAACTTTTTTTTACCATTTACCCCCTAAAACATTTATGTACGTCGAGATTGCCCCCCCTTGATTTGAAAGGAAGGATCTTGAGTGCCGCCGCCGAAGCCTCGACACCCATGCCCAGGGTCAGCAAGGAGGGTGAGAGGCTCTGCCGTGCCTGGCCGGCCGGCGTGAAGGCACTAGGGTGAGAGGCTCTGCCAGGCCTGGCCGGCCGGCGTGAAAACACTGCCAAAAGAAGCCGTGCAGCCGGGCAAGCACCACTCCCGCCCGACGGGCTCGGACGGGGATAAGGCGTGAGGCGGTGTTCCGGCGGCGGGAGGCTGAGCCTGGCCTGGGCCGCTGTCATGGATGTGCCCGTCCCCTCCACCCTGATCCACTTCTCCAGGCAGTGGAAGGAGAGGCTCCTCCTGGCCGGGGCGCCCCGGCCTCGCCCTCCACCATGGCCGGCCCCGCCGCCTCAGCTGCCATACGCTGCAGACCGGGGCCCGTCGCCGGCCGCCATGCCTCGGTTGCAGCCGGGTCGGAGAAGAGGGTGGGAAGGGGGCGATCAGGCAGCCGGGGACCCTCCTCTGGGCAGAAGAGGAGGAGGGAAGGGGGTTAGGGTCGCGTCCTTATTACCCTCAGGATTTTTGTTTTTACCCCATTTGGAGTAATTTACCCCTGTTCCCTGACCACCGGCCTAAATGAAAAGGCTTTTCTGCTGTTTCGCCTACATCCTTAACAGTCACCCTTGGCCCCCAGCATTTCACCCATTTTTTTTCCTCCTGATTCTTTCTTCTTTCTCTCTCTTTTCATCCTCACATCCCCCATCGCTATATGAAGGAGGATTCGTGATTCCGAAACCAGAGGCGGTGTCCCAAATGGAACAAGGAGAAATGGCTTTCCCTCAGGACTCAGAGGCGCACGAGGTGTTTCCTGGGAGCATTTCAGGTAAGGTGGCCAGGATGGGATGGAGGTTACTGAGGGATGCATCCTGTGCCAGCACAGATCTGGATGCTGTCAGTTCATAACATCTTGTGATCTATTGTACTTGTTTCCTCATATTCAACTTCCTTGTGTTGTATTATATTGTATTGCTTTATATTTTATTACACTAGGACCCTCTTATCTGCGGGATCAGTATCTGCTGGTTCACTTATCTACTGCTTAGACCCTCTTATCTGCGGGATCAGTATCCGCTGGTTCACTTATCTACTGCTTTAAAATACTAAATTAAAAACCCTAGAAATACATATCTTTACCAGAACTGGCCACTAAAGGGAGCCAGAGATCGTGCAATGTATAGCATTCTCTACTTCCATATTTTTCAGTATCCACACGGGGCCTTGGATCTGATCCCCTGCAGATACTGCAAACGACCTAGTCTGGTCTGGTATTGTATGGTACGATATGGTATGGTATAGAATGGTACTGTACTGTATTTTATCATATTGTGTAATATGGCCTAAAATCCTGTTGCTCAGTTCCTCTAGAGTAACATTGATGACATCAGCAGAAGCAGCAGAACACCTTTGGTGCATTTGGAGTCCATGTGTTGCATTGTATACAAATCACGTGCCCTCCAAGTGAACTTTAAACAGCAGCTATTGGCTACTGGCGATGTCATCCCATTGTGCAGACTTAGCTACGCAACAGGATTCTAGTCACTGTATAATATTGTATTGTACTTGTCTTTTTGTGGAGTACTTGTCTTATGCTACTTTACATTCCTCAGTTCTGGTAAATGCATCCTAGAAATATATATAAATATGACAATATTTCTGGGGCGTTTTGTTGTTGTTGTTGTTTTTGTTTTGTATTTTCAGGCAGTGGATAAGCAAATCAGTGGATAAATGAATCAGCAGATAGGGGGTCCTTCTATACGTAACTTATGTACTTCTTACTCTGTTTTCCTCTTCTTGCAGATGCTGGTGAACCCCTTAAAATCAAGGAGGAGGATTATCAACAAACACACAAAGAACCCAATGAATCATTCAGTATCTCACTGGAAATATCTCAAGGAAAGGCCTCTCTGGTGGCCGAGATTCACGAAGAAAAATGTGAATCCGAGGGACAACAGGGGGAGAAGCTAGCGGAGAGGTGGGACGAACCCATTGGGGTTGCAGAAAGGCATAAGGACAGCCCAAGATGTACACGAGCAAATAGGTTTTTACACTACAAGGTCGGGAAGTGGCATCGCTGCAAAGCAGGACTTGCTGCCAATCCGATGATCCATTCCGGAATGACCCCTTACGAATGCCACCTCTGTGGGAAGCGCTTCCAGAGGAAAAACTACCTTGCCAAACATGAGAGAATCCACGTGAGACCCAAAGTGTACCAATGCTCCGAGTGCAGAGCGAGCTTTGGTCAGAGGGAAGCATTTATCCGGCACCGAGGGGCCCACACGGGAGAGAAACCCCACAAATGTCCTCAGTGCGGCAAATGCTTCAGCCAGAAGGAAAGCCTGACCAGGCACGAGAAAATCCATACAGGAAAGAAGCCGTTCAAATGCCCTGAATGTGGGAAGACCTTCTATCGGAGGGATTCCTTGGTAAGACACCAGAAGATCCATACGGGCGAGAAGCCATATAAATGCTCGGCGTGCGGAAAGAGCTTCAGTCAGAAAGAGGTGCTGCTCAGACACCAGAGAATCCACACGGGAGAGAAGCCATTCATATGCCATGTGTGTGGGGAAAGCTTCACTCAGAGAGCCATCCTAACCAGACACGAGAGGATCCATGTGGGGAAAAAGACCTTACTCATACTCTGAGAATTCATGCTTTCCTGTTGCCCTGAATTTTTTCTTTTTTTTTAAAAAAAAAAGAGAAGCTGCTTGTTTCATATTACCTGTTTTGAGGGGGGGCAAGGGCCCTTTTTGTTAAATCCAAATAACTGTCGTTTTCTCAGGCGCAAGGCCCAAGTGCCCACATCACTCTGTGGAAGGGCCTGTGCTTTTCTACCCAGGCAGGTCAAGATCGACCCTTAGAAAAATTAGGTTGCCATGAGGGGGAGAACCTTTGGCTTAAGTCTCCCAGAAAACCATCTTATTTATTTATTTTGGACTACATGTGCCAGAATCCCCAGCCAGTGTGGCTACTTTGGGAGTGGTAGTCATAAAAATAAATAAGATGTCCAAAGTGCAGCCGTATTCCAATACGAGGCTGTTTTGTCTCTTCGTACGGCCAACATCGGGGCCACATGACATTCGTCGTACCTTCCACATAGGATGGTTGTGAGGCCAGGAAGTAAATAGATAATCTCATTTTACTGAGGCTCTGACTAACGCTTGTACTCAACTCTCCCCTGAACCGAACACTGTCCAGACCCTCCCTGGGTATCTTTGACCAGCTGGTGTGGGATGTTAGACGACAGTTCCTCATAAAGTAATGGCACTATATTTTCACTGATTTTAATGGGGTTTAAACAGCAGTTCACTCAGTGGTTTACGTATCTGGCTGAGGAGCCAGCGGTTGTTCGACTCCCCACAGCGCCTCCGGGGAGAAGGAGCCAGCCTGTGTGGCCTTGGGCAAGCTGCACAGTCCCAGAATTATCCCCAGAAGAAAGGCTGAGGAAACTGTTTCTGCCTCTTCTTTACTGGGAAAACCCTGAAAAGGGCTGGCGTTAAGTCGGGATTGACTTCGCAGCACATGATTATAACTACGCAGCAATATGGGTTGCAGGGTTTTCTAGGAAAACATGTTTTATGTTTGCTGCATGGCTGTTCAGTTTCTTAGATATATTTCTCCTCATGTTCTGTTTTGTATTTGATTAATATTGTGAAGGTCTGTGTTTTTATTCTTGTTTTTATTTAATTGGGCTGGTTTTCACACTTTTTCTATGTGCCTTGTACAGCGCTTTTTTTTTTTGGAGGGGAATGGCAGCTAGGAGGGAGATTAAAGGCTGTTAAGACTTCTGCAAATAAAGATCCAGTATTGGCTTGACTTGGCTGGACAGCTCAGTGGTTTAGGGATCTGGCTGTGGACACCGAGGTTGGGAATTGCTTTCCACATGACCGGACCATTATGCACACTTCTGAGTCATCGAGGCAGCCATAAATTGCGCAGGTCTCCTTGTCGCCTCTGGTATGGATTGAGGAGCTCTGTGTTGGCTGGAGAAGTGTCAGATTCTATGGAGGAATATCTGAGTGCCTTCACAGGGCTCCTGTTTTACAGACTCTCTATAAGAGACTTAAAGGCTTAGATTTTCCATGTTATCAAGTATTTCCCATTTAAATTTCTCTTTCCCCCCCCCTGCCATATATCTTTATTAAAATCCATATTTGACACCAGGTTTGGTTTTTAAGGCTGCAATCCTATACAGGTACTTAACTTTGGAAAGAAGGTGGCTGAACAAGAAATAATGTATTTTTGAACAGACACAGAATTGCTCCCAAATAACTGGATCTTCACCTGCTGTAAGATTGGATGAGAAAAGTTTATTTATTCTGTTTAGTCATGGGCAATGTTTATGTTTGTTGGGGGATTCTGGCAGTTGTAGTCTAGAAATAGACTCTCTTTGCATAGTGGTGCCCCGCTTTATGATTACCCCGCATTATGACAAATCCACTTCACGACGTTTTTGCGATCGCAAAACGATGGTCTAAATAGGTTTTTTTTGTTTTGCGATGAAAGTTCCCTGCTTTGGGAAACGATTCTTTGCAAAATGATGTTTTTTTAACAGCTGACCGGCGGCTTCAAAACGGCCGCCGGTTAATTAAAATGGCTCCCCACTGTGTCCTGGGACACGCTCTTTTAAAGCAGGAAGTCCCACCCCTAGGCCCCACCCCCAGGCCATGTGGTCAGGAGACAAAAAGAAAGCCCAGGAAAAAAAAACTCAGCCAGCAGTCTGGTTGCTGCATTCTGAACCAGCTGAAGTTTCCAAACACACTTCAAAGGTGTAGAGTGTGTCCTAGTAATCCAAATAGGATGTAACTGAGGCATGTATCACAATGGACTAATCATGATCCCATACCATTTTCAGTCAGTCTGTAGACATTTGGTCCATTGCCTTTTATACCAAGGTTAGGTATACTAATGAAGGCTCAGCTGAGGTAGGATTCAGTTCTATTTCCCATTGTACCTCCTGCAAGTAGAGCCAGCCTATGTAACCTTGGGCAAGTTGCGGGATCTCAGGGCTTCCCCAGAAGAAGGGAAGGGGAAACCACTTCCAGGTATTCTCTACCTGGAAAATCCTTGAAAAGGCTAACCATAAGTCAGAATGGACTTAATGGCACACAATTGGTATTATTAGAAGTCCAATAAGGAGGACAGGAATCTCTAATTAGTTCCAACCACACTTCAATCATGTACTCTACTTATTAAATGGTCTTCAGCAAGCAATCTGTCGCCTCAGCCTACCATCTCTAGAATGAGTGCAATAATGCTATTCTATTTCTCTTTGAAAGTCTCTGACACACTCTGAAATCTGTATTAAAAGAGAGGGTGCCCTTAAGTATGGCTTATCTTCAGAGCCGAGGCATATAGTGACTCCAGTTTTAGAGATGCCATGAGTCCACTCCAGGTTTTGGTTTACTGGAGCTATCCAGGGTGCTGAAGAATTCTATCACCAAATAGGATCCGCATCTTGGATGACTCATATAAAGTCCACTTTAAAACCTGGAGTGGATTCATACCACCCCTGAAATTCACATTATTCGCCACAGCTGCTTAAGACTCCACTTTCCGTGTGCTAATCTACTCATTCCTCTCCTTTGCTTGAGGATTTGCAGGTCATCTGCTGAAGATAAAGTGCCATGGATATAACATGCACGGTGTAACATGCACAGTGTACTTACACACATAGTATCTCCTTTGCCTCCATATCCTGTTGGACAAGGTAGGAAACAGAAAACATGCCATTATGTTTGTGGCTTGGGGGCTCCTGGGACTTGTGAGAGAACTGCCCCATCTATCAAAACAGCCCATTGTTGAGGAACATGTGAGAGGCGGACCTAATGTTTTAAAAACTTAACAATTACACACACACACAAACACACACACACACACACACACACACACATACATACATATGTAATAATAATATATTATATGTAATAATCATTTATTGAAAGATGAGCTCTATTTATCTGTTCTCGGGATGGAAGCATCATTGAAAACTTCTTTCATTTTACTTCATTCTCTCTGGTTTGAATAACTGCTTGTTTACTCTCCAGTTTACTTGCCATCGGCGGCCTATGTAGTAATCAGGCCAAAAACAAAAAAATAAAATAAAATAAAATAAAGGAGACAGAAACGTCCTGCCACCTTAAAGACTAAACTGCTATATTTTAATGTGAGCTTTTGTGGATCACGTCCACTTCCTCCTGTTCTAGAAAAAGGCACTTCAAGAGGCATTATAAGCTAAGTGGTGTTGTGTTTCTTATATTTTCGTGCCCACCTTCCTGAATTGAGAGCCCGGGGCTCAGCCTGGAATTTTTCTGTGAATGGAAGATGTAGCACGAGCGCCCCCTTTCTGCCAGGCTCCGAACACGCATCTCCGCCTCCCAAGGAGGAATAAGAAAAAGAGGAGGAGCAGCAGCAGGAAGGAGAAGGGCTGCTGATTCTCCCTCCCCGTCCTCCTTCCAGCCCGCCGTCCAACAGGGAGAGTTCGCCCCAAGATTCAAGGATCCAGCCTGGCTCGTCATCCCTCCCTTCCCCCGGATCGAGCCGTGAGCATCCTCCCCCTCCCGGGAGCAGAGGAAGCGGGCCAGCCGCGACCCTCACCGGCCTCCTCGACGCTTACGGTAGGGGCTGGTTTGGGAGCTCTGTTGTGGCGCTGGGATGTCGCAGCGGGCGGAGCAGGGCGAGCTGGCGGGGCTGCCATCCTGTGTAGAGGGCCGGCGGGTGAGCTTTTGGGCCTCAGTTTCCCCCTTGCAAAAAAAGGGGGGGCACCCACCCGCAGAGGTGCCCCAAGTAGTCACCGCCTTCTACCGACCCCCCCCACACACACACACACACCCTCCCCTGACCTCCGCTCTGGCCTTGGCACCGGATCTCATTCCATCCTTCATAGAAAACTATGAAAAAATGGTCTTGTGAAAGGGAAGGAGGTCCCGGATCCAGATGGGGCTGGTTGAGTGCCCACGAGGGTCCTGAACCCGGAATCGGTGGGTTGAACATATTCTAGTCGTAGCTCTAACTTTGTTTTCGTGCATGCCCGCTTTTGCACAGTTGCCCTACAATGAGAAGGGGGGGGGCTACCTTAAAAGATTAGCAGATTTTATCTGGCATCCTTTTTGAGGGGAATTGCACCCCATTTTGTAAAGATGCCAGTTGGGTCTTTGTGATTGCTTTCCACTCCCTCAGACTATCACAGCTGCTTCCTTGGTCCCCCCTTTAAAACCTTTAATTCCTTTTTAAAGCTAGTTGCTTTGTAGCAAATCCAACCACTAGAGACTAGTTCATTGTAAGGGGGGGTGTCTCAGGCTACGTCTCCCTTCTCTATCTCTGGGGGGGGTAGGGATCCCTTTAGAGACTTTCTTCATGATTCCAGTGTTCTTGATCACTATATATTTTCTTCATCTTTCATTTCCTCACTTCCTCTACCCACCCAGAGTAGGTTCGATATTCTGTTTATGGCTATTCTGACTTTGGATAAGGGTAGCTGCAAAGTATGAGGTTGTCTTACATGCCTGTCATTCAGAGAGAAATTATGTTTTTTCCTCAGGAAAAAAGGTTCCAGGGAATGCCTTGATCTGCCCGTGGTCACTCAGCAGACTGCTTCACTGCACGGAGAAACAAGAAAGCAAAGGGAGAGGAAGGCAGGATTTGATCCTTTCAGGCTCTGTTGTTCTAGCAAGATTTCAGAAGGTTAAGAATTGAGAGTTTTCTCTGGAAAACCGAAGGACTATTACTGGCCCTTGAATTCTAGACGGGAGACGTGGACTGAAGAGAGAGGAAGCGATGAAAGAGGAAGCGCCTGCACGCCCAGAACAGGAAGAAGAAACGAGAGACGTCGCTGGCGGGGTTCAGCCGGAAGATACAAGAAAGCGGCCAGGATGGGGACCATCAGGAGAGGGGAAATGGGAACCCGGTCAGGGGATGCAAGAGCGCTGGGAAGCCCAGTGGCAGGAGTTCCTGAGGACCCTGCAGCCCAATCACACAAAATGGGACCCTCCAGTCTTATCAGCGAGGGACCCCTGGGAGGATACCAGGACCTTCCTGGCCTCCTTTGAGCAAGTGGCCACGGCCTGCTGGTGGCCAAAGGAAGAGTGGCCAGCCCGGCTCATGCCGGCGCTCAGTGGCATAGCAGAAGAGGCCTTTCAGAGCCTGGAAGCCCAAGACAAAGAGGATTATGGGAAAGTGAAGGCTGCCATCTTGCAAAAGGATGCCCTGCGGATGGAGAAGCAGCGCCAGCACTTCAGGGACTTCTCCTGCCAGGAGGTGGAAGACCCTCGAAGCCTCCACCACCACCTCCAGGAGCTTTGCCACCGGTGGCTGAGGCCGGAGAGGCGCAGCAAGGAGCAGATCCTGGAGCTGCTGATCCTGGAGCAGTTCCTGGCCAGCCTTCCCCCGGACGTTCAGGGCTGGATCCGGGCGGGAGGGCCCGACACGTGTTCCCAGGCCGTGGCCCTGGCGGAGGACTTCCTCGTGAGCCAGGAAGGGGCTGAGAGAGCAAAGTGGCAGGTGAGGTTTTTAAGATTGAATTCCCCTTCTCTGAGAGAATGCAGAATGTGGATGAGATTGTTTAAAGCACCAGCACTTTTTCTATTAGACGTTGCTAGCTAGCTTTTGAGGCAGCTCTTGGGTCTGAATTTTCATTTTTTTCAGCACTTTTTCTATTAGAAGTTGCTAGCTAGCTTTTGAGGCAGCTGTTGGGTCTGAATTTTCATTTTTTTTCCTTTTGCGTAGTCAATGAAGCAGAAGTACAGTGGTGCCTCGCTTAATGAGCGCGCTGTATAATGATGAATCCGCATAGCACCTGGTGGCCATTTTTGAAACAGCTGATCGGTGTTTCCAAAATGGCCGCCCGCACCATTTTCATGCCCTGCCCTCGCTTACCAAGCAGCGAAAATGGCGGCCTGATCCAGGATTCTTCACTTACCGGTGAGTTTTTCCCTAGTAGGAACGCATTAAATGGAGTTTTCCCTGCCCGGATAGCGAAGAATCCAGATAGCGATGTTAATCCTGGAACGGAGTGACGTCGCTATGCAGGGCACCACTGTACTTAATTTCCTCAAATTATCTTTTGTAAGTGTTTTGTATAGTAGAGAAGAACAGTTGACAAGAATGCTCCCTTTGCTTTGAGGAGTGAAAGTAAACTCCACAATAAGTAATCCTGCTGGCTTCCAGACAGAAGACCCTAATCTTTAGTCAGCTCTTGTGAAGACTGGGTTGTGAAGAAGAAACACCGTACACACCCACAATTTTTCTAAAACACTTGACTTGGATCCAGTCTTAGTTATGCTGAGAATACTTACTGAAAAAGTAGACAAAGATTAACGAGTCCTTATTTCTGGAAGGTCTGCTCTTGGCCTTCTTTGGGATTGGGATGTAGACTGATCTTTTCCAATCCTCTGGCCACTGCTGAGTTTTCCAAACTTGCTGGCATATTGAGTGCATTATCAGTTAGTAAGTATGAAACATTATCAGTCATAGTTATTTCTCAATAGCCACCAGCTAAGCCAATGCATTATGATGAAGTAAAAGTGTGACTCCTACCTTTTGTTTACAGTTAACCGGCCTCAAAATAGCCTTATGAGAACCAGTAACTTATTTATTTGGTGCCAAACATCATCTCAATTATTATATGTGTCTCACTCGTCTTCATTCTTCTCTGATCCATATTATGAGTGGAATTCTCTTCCTCCTCTTTCAGGGGCTGATAAAGGTGGAGGGAGACGACTCCTTGGAAATGGATTTGAATGAAATGAAGGAACAGGTCTTTAAAGAAGCTGGGCAAAATGGCAGTGTTTTAGCACTTCCTCTTGAAGGTCAAAGAATGGTTCAAAGTGATGAGAGAGAGGTATGTGATAGGGACCCTGCGCCCTCCACAGCCAGATGGAAAACAAAAACTAAACTTAAAAAATATTATAGACCACTAGAGGGCACAAAGGAGCCTTTTCAGTTACAAATCATATTCTTTTAAGAAAAAAAAACATTTTGAATTAATTTAGAGGAATGGTATAGAGAATTATGGGAAATGGCAGTTAATGATAAACGGACATGTGATTTGAAAATAAGAAGAGGTTTATTTTAAAAATGATTTTAAGAGAACATGGAATGTATTTTTGGAATATGTATTTTCGGAGAGGAAAAGAGTATACACCGAGGGAAGAAACAATGAATTTTTAGAGAGGAAATGGATTGAATGAAATTTGAAAATATTATTAATACTAGCCCTGAGGGTGAAGGTGGCACTGGTGTATTATGTCATTGTATATTATTGTGGTGGTAGGTTTATATTGTCTATGTTTGATGTTCTTTTAATGAAATAAAATTTAAAAAAAGAAGAGAAAAAACATTTTGGATTACGTTTGGAGGACAGGGTGTCGAACTTCTATGTCCAAGGAAAGTACGTGTGGTCTCCCAGACCTCTAGAAATTGTTACCCCTGATCAAAAGGAACCAACTTTACGGACATGTTTCTGTTCAGAGTTGGTATTCCATTGTATAAAGTCTGAACTAGAACGTGTGCATACAGACAGTTCCTTTAACCAGAGGTGGGCGACTGTGGCCTTCCAGATGTTATTTGCACTTCAGTTCTCATCAGTCCTAGCAAGTATAGTCTGTGGTAAATGTTGCCCTCTGCTCGCCAAATGGAGATTTGAACCCAGTGTTGCCCAAGCAGCTGTGGGGAGGTTTAAAGGGGGGCTACAGATCCTCAGGCCCCGGGGCTGAATCTGGCCTTCTGGGAAGTGTTCCCCCATCCCATTCTGAAAAGTCCCTTTACCAAATTTAATTTACAGTGGGGTCTCTACTTAAGAACTTAATCCATATTGGAAGGTGGTTCTCAAGTTGAAAAGTTCTCATGTTGAATCTGCATTTCCCATAGGAATGCATTGAAAACCATTTAATCCGTATCTGCTCTTTTCCATCCATAGAAACTACAGTGGAACCTCTACTTAAGAACTTAATCAGTTTTGGAATGGTGTTCTTAAGTTGAAACGTTCTTAAGTTGAAGCAAAATTTCCCATAGGAATGGACTGAAAACCAATTAATCCGTTCTGGCTGTTTTTTTTTGTTATGTAGAGGTGCGTTCGTACATTGAAGCATTAGTTCCCATAGGAACGAATGCAAAGCTGGTTAATATGTACTCTACCACTAGGGGGAGAACTTTTTTTAACCTAAGATGACCTAAGGTTAAAAAAAGAGCAGGAAAGGTTTTTTTTCCTGTTCTTATCTTGGATTTCTGTTCTCGAGTAGAAGCAAAATTGAGCAAATGGAGCTGTTCTTAAGTTGGATTGTTCTTAAGTAGGGATGTTCTTAAGTAGAGACCCCACTGTACTAGGAGTGAGGGCTTGAATCTAAAAGAATGCTTTGATTTTTGGTTTTCCCCAATTTGTCCATCACTTGAGGCCCCTGAGAACATCTGTGAAATGGAATATTACTGTCCTCGGAAGGAAAAGAGGGTCCACTCTCATGGCTTGAAACCACAGAATTGAAGAGCTGGAGGGAACCCCGGGGGTCATCAAGGCCAACCCCTTACCAAAGCAGGAAGTCTTGAAACACCACCTTTCTAAACCATAGATAATATTGTAATGAGAGTCCCTGAAACGGAACGTTGCAAGCTGCTACCTGTGTTCTGAAATATGGGGTATTTTTTAATGTAAATATGAGGATAAGTGGGAGCAACACGTTCCACTGCTTCCATGAATATTTATCCGAGGACTGAGAACTGTACTGAACTTTGGAATCAATGTGGGATTCCATGTTTTCAGATGAATGTGAAGTCACATTTCATTCACCTGGGGGAAGGCGCAGATCCCATGAAGCTAAGCAGGACCTAGGCTGGCAGTTTCTTCTTAAGTAGAGACCCCACTGTACTAGGAGTGAGGGCTTGAATCTAAAAGAATGCTTTGATTTTTGGTTTTCCCCAATTTGTCCATCACTTGAGGCCCCTGAGAACATCTGTGAAATGGAATATTACTGTCCTCGGAAGGAAAAGAGGGTCCACTCTCATGGCTTGAAACCACAGAATTGAAGAGCTGGAGGGAACCCCGGGGGTCATCAAGGCCAACCCCTTACCAAAGCAGGAAGTCTTGAAACACCACCTTTCTAAACCATAGATAATATTGTAATGAGAGTCCCTGAAACGGAACGTTGCAAGCTGCTACCTGTGTTCTGAAATATGGGGTATTTTTTAATGTAAATATGAGGATAAGTGGGAGCAACATGTTCCGCTGCTTCCTTGAATATTTATCCGAGGACTGAGAACTGTACTAAACTTTGGAATCAATGTGGGATTCCATGTTTTCAGATGAATGTGAAGTCACATTTCACTCACCTGGAGAAAGGCGCAGATCCCATGAAGGGACCTAGGCTGGCGGTTCCAAGATAGGCCTTTCTCCAGGTGAACAAAATGGAGGTGTCTGTAGGTGTGGTTCTGACAGCTGGAATTCCTGGAATGGGGAGTTGGAGTCCAAAATATCTAAGTGGCACATTTCTAGTTCAGGGGTTTGCCGTCATATTCTTTGGTGACAAAGTCTGATGGAAGGAGTGTCCGTCTTCTCTTTCCGCTTGCAGGAAATGATGACCCTCAGGGAAACGGGTGTGTCATTACAAATCGTCAAGCAGAATCCTTCCCAGCCAGGCCAGGAGACCATCCTTTGGCGAGTCCTGCAGGAGGATGGCGGCAGCGTAGATTCCTTGGGTGAGGACCTTGGTCACGCTGATCCTACAGAGATCCTGTAAAGATTTGTAAACATCTGTCAAATAACTCCAGCATGACCCAGTGACTATTAAATTCCTTTCTGTATATTTTGCCCCTCGCACCAATTTATAAAAGAGTCTAGCTGCTTTTAATTACATCAACCTTATTGCTTATGGCTGCTTTTAAACTGAAATGATGTGTTGTCCTAAGTTGTTTGGATAAACTTTTGTAAGAGCTGCTTTCCCTGAAAGATAACCAATGTAACTTTTTTTTTTAAGGGGGGGAAAAAAACCACAGTGGCCTTCATATTCTTTGTTTGGTGACGAAGTCTGATGGAAGGGGTGTCCGTCTTCTCTTTCCGCTTTACAGGAAATGATGACCCTCAGGGAAACGGGTGTGTCATTACAAATCGTCAAGCAGAATCCTTCCCAGCCAGGCCAGGAGACCATCCTTTGGCGAGTCCTGCAGGAGGATGGCAGTAGCGTAGATTCCTTGGGTGAGGACCTTGGTCACGCTGATCCTACAGAGATCCTGTAACGATTTGTAAACATCTGTCAAATAACTCCAGCATGGCCCCGTGACTATTAAATTCCCTTCCGTATATTTTGCCCACACAACCAATTTATAAAAGAGTCTACAGTGGGGTCTTGACTTGAGAACTTAATCCGTATTGGAAGGCGGTTCTCAAGTCAAAAAGTCTGTAGGTCAAGTCTCCATTGACCTACAGTGCATTGAAAACCGATTAATCCCGTAACAGGCCGTTTTTGTTCCATTTTGGTCTTTTTCTGGTCTGTAAGTCAATTCTCAGGCTGCAAGTCAAACCTAAAGTGTAGCTGCTTTTAATTACATCAACCTTATTGCTTATGGCTGCTTTTAAACTGAAATGATGTGTTGTCCTAAGTGTTTGGATAAACTTTTGTAAGAGCTGCTTTCCCTGAAAGATAACCAACGTAACTTTTTTTTCTATAAGAGGGGGAAACCACAGTGGGACCCTCATATCCATGGGGGAATTGGTTCCAAGCTGCCCCACGGATGCTGAAAAACGCAGACTGGCTCCTTCTAGTGACCAGTTCTGGTAACTTCATCATTAGAAATATATATAAATAAATAAAATAAATAATAAAATATATTTCTGGGAATTTTTCTTTTAATATTTTTAATATTTTCAGACTATAGACAAGTGAATCAGCAGATACTCATCCTACGGATAAGGGGGTCCACTGTATACATAAATATTCTGGCCAGGAAACTTTTAGTTATGCCCCCCAGTGTAAATGTTAGTGAGAAATTGCCACGGGTTAAGACGCTGGCACTGATTTTTTTTCCCACCACATGGCCTGCAGTCAGAAAAAAACAGTGCCTTCTTAACTGGTGTTGATTTGCTGCTGAAACTCACACTGGTGGTATATGTATAGTTGCAATCTTGAACGTTTATTTCATTATATTAATCGACGTGATGAGTTTGTCTGACAACTAAATCCCAGTTGCAGCCATCCAGCCAAGAGGAGGAGGAGGAGGGAAAAAATTGCAGTTACAAAGAGCAAGCACATGCAACACACTGCATTGCACAGCATACACACAAACGACAGAATAAAATCATTTAAAATTTTAATTTATCGCATTGTTCTTCCAAGCCCATCAAAAAGTGCAATCCTAAAATGGTCTGGCTGTAAGGGTCAGGCAGAGAGGCATCTTTTAGATAGCCATCCTGTCAGATCTTCTTTGATTTGGATTCGTACCTTGAGGAGGGAGTTGGATTCCATGGCCTTATAGGTCCTTTCCAACTCAGTAATTCTACTATGCTATGATCTGGTGGCAGAAGTGCCCTTCTGCTGACACAACCTATGTACACCAGTAAGATCTTAAAAGATCTGCCAACAGAATGATCTGCCACAGAACTGCTCTGCTGGTGAAGATCTGTCTGCTGATAGCAGAGCCAAAGAAAAGGGTGGGGGAAGGGTTAAGGAAGAGCTGTTACACTAGACCTGTTTCGCCACCCCAAGAGATAATACCAGCACAAGAGGACGCCAGGATGGGCTTGACCTAAGTATTTTCCAGTGCCCCCTAGGCTGAGAAGGGTTCAGATTTCGCACAGCATCACCTGATCTGGCATTGACTCAACTGATCTGTCGCCATTTCGACCAGTTAAGTTTTTACCGTAAGCCGGGCAGTAAAATGTAATAGGACTGTGTGGCTCAATGGTTTAAGTAGAGGTTGAGAGTTTGATTCCCCATTATGCCTCTTGGGAGCCCGCCTGTGTAGCCTTCAGCAAGCTGCACAGTCCCAGGGCATGTGTTAATTTTTAAAAAGCAACAGAGAACATACAGCCTTATAAAAACGCGTCAAAGAATATATACCAACAATTCAATAGACAATAATTACATTTTCAATATAGGATTATCTCAGTCTATCTGTATTTAATATTGCTCCTTCCACTCTAGTATTGAAAAGCATTTCCTAAAATATATTTTATTTTTTTTCTATATTAAGAAATGTTTGATAGAGTTACTACAACACCGATGCCTCCATTCCTCTTATTTTTTGGACGATTCAGCATACTACAGAGGGATTTTCAAGTTTACAGAAGGCAGAATTAGATTTTCCCATTTTAAAAAACTTTCTACCACATTATCATCAATCAGGATTTTAAATTGAATTTATCTAAAAAGTGCCTGCTATTATCCCTGGTGCAGAGCTAAAATTAGCAGTTTGGGCATCTGGGACCTCTCATCCCGAGGCATGGACATTAAGAGTGGTCCTTTCGGACTAGATAGGCGGGGTATAAATCAAATAAATAAATAAATAAATTAATAAGCCCATCCCCCAAAAGGAAGAGGTAAATGTGGGTTCCCCTCACAAAACAAAGCAAACATTTACAAAAGAAAATGAAAGGAAACAAATAATAATAAAAGGGCCTGAAGGTGTTGCTATTTACTTTATAAAGCTTTCCTAAACTCTAGATGTTGGCATGCTCCTAATTTTGGTGCAAAGCTTTAATAGCCCCACTCCAGTTATAGCCAGGCCTCTGTGTTTTGTAATTTTAACTACAACTCCATATAAAAGAAGGGTTTTTATGACGGGGGCAGACAGAAGCATAGATGAAGCAGAAAGAACAACATCTTAAGAATTAGAGTAGGCCTTTGGTCTAGATGGACAGGGTAGAAACCTAATTAAATAAATAAATAAGTTAAGAGCCTTTTATTTAACATATCCTTAGCACACAGACAGCATTTTTCTGAGGAAATGTTCATGAAAGCTCAAATTAAAAGATAGTAATCAGTCATTAAGGTGCCACAATGTTTTTATTCTTCTTTATTTTTTAATTTTTCCTTTGCTTTAGCCTAACGATCTTCTTTGTCTGTCTGTCTCTCTCTCTCTCTCTCCCCATAGGTGATGAGAAAGGAGGTCTGGTCAATATGGAGAATTCTCACTGTGAAGGGAATGAGCTGAAGGGTACACGGAGGGCAGCCCCACAGATAAGCCAAGTAAACGTGACAGAAACCACTGAGATAAGCAAGGGGAGATGTAGCTCCCAAGAGGTACTGGGAAAGCAGGTGATAAAGAAAGAAGATGAATGCCGTGAGATCAGAGACGATGCCACAGTTTCCATCATACTGAATTCACATTTGGATGGACAGCAGAGGACTGTGACAGGAGACAATACATCGAACAGCAGTTTTAAAGAAGGAACAACTAGATCAAAAAGAAGTCGTAATGGAGAGAAGCCATACAAATGTTTTCATTGCGGCAAATGCTTCACTCAGAGAGGGTACTTGAAGATTCATCAGCGGGCACACACAGAAGGAAAAGCCTATAAATGTTCTCAGTGTGAGAAGTGCTTCAGTCAGAAATCATATCTAAAGACCCATCAGAGAATTCACATGGAGGAGAATCCATACAAGTGTCCCGATTGTGGGAAAAGCTTCAGCCGGAACGAACACCTCAAGAGCCATCGGATCGTTCATACTGGAGAGAGGCCGTACAAATGTCAGTCGTGTGACAGAAGCTTCAGTCGGAGCGAATATCTAAAGAACCATGAGAGGATTCATACTGGAGAGAAACCCTTTGAATGCTCCTATTGTGGGAAGTTCTTCAATCAGGCGGGATATTTGAAGATTCACCAAAGAATTCACACGGGAGAGAAACCGTACGAGTGTTCTCAGTGTGGGGAATGCTTCACCCGCAGAGATTACTGGAAGAGCCACGAGAAAACGCATAGCGGAGAAAAACCCTACAAATGTCCTGAATGCGGGAAGGGTTTTTGCAGTAGTCAGCAGGTCAAGAAGCACCGGAGGACTCACAATGCCGAGAATGCCCAGAACGTGGGTAAAGATTAAGGCAGAAGGAATATCTGGACCGTTATATATCGGAGGGGGGGGGGAAAACCCATACACATCTTCCCAGTGCAGGAAATGCTTCCTTCGGAGCAGATGTCTGGCAGATTCCTCAGAAAACGTTGTGGAGAAATTGTAGCCATAGAGAGAAAGTGTGCAAATGGCCAGAGTGTCCAAGAAGCTTTTCGAGGAAGATCTTTATCGTCGTCGTCATGTGCCGCCAAATTGCCTCAGACTTCTAGCGACCCTATAAGTGAGTGATCTCTCCAGACTTTCCTCCAGGACTCTTGTAAACCCAAGGGTGTGGTTACCTTAGGGTTGTGGTTCCCAACTTTTTTTGAGCCGCGGCCCTCTTTTATAATAGTTGAGTAACCTGTGACGTATTTGCAGAAAAAGGGGAGCCCGCCAGCCAGCTCCTCCCCTCGTGGGTAGCTCGGTCTCTCTCTCAAGCCACAACACAGTCCCACCCGTTTGGTCACCTCTGGCAAGGCTTTGTCCAGGACTGCCATCTAACATAACTGTGGCAAACACCACCACCCCAAAGAACACTTTGTGACCCCCTTAGGTGTCACAAACCATAGCAAAGTGGGCTGTTTTATATCCCACTCCCTAGTGCTTCAAGCACTCTCTGGGTGGTTTACGAGTCTTAAATTAATTTTACAGGCTGTCAAATTACACATAAAATGTAAATTAATTTTATGCATTGCCACCCCCGGGGAGCTGGGTACTCATTTTATTGACCTCGGAAGGAGGGAAGGCTGAGTCAACCTCGAGCTGGCTGTTAAATCTGTTGGTATCAAACGCTGACTGTGAGGAGAGTTTAGGCTGCAATGCTACAGTTTAGCCACGGCCCCATGAGTTTGGGAACCCATGCTTTAGAGAGTCAATTCATCTCGTATTTGGCCTTCCTCTTTTCCTGCTGCCTTCAACCTTTCCCAGCATTATTGTCTTCTCCAGAGAATCATGCTTTCTCACCATGTGCCCAAAGCAGGACAGCTTCAGTTTCAACATTTTCACCTCTAGAGAAAGAGAGTTCAGGCTTCATTTGCTAGCATCAAAACAGTTCCTGGGAGAGAAAAGACAAAACAGAAGCATCAGAGGAAACACGGAGGATATTGATAGAGTCAGTGCCTATTTTGCTGCATTAATTTCCACTTAACTTGTACTCAAATGTGCTAGTTTCAGCTATGATCCTAAACACCCGATGATGTGAAAGCACCATTTATGAGTAAACCTGTTCTGTATACATGCATTTTCTCCTTGTCACTGTTTTTTCTTTGGGAGCTTTGGCAATTGTGGAACAATTTCTGTGCTCCCAACCCTCTTTATTGTCACGGTAGCATAAAAGTGTTGATCAAAAATAAGAAAGAGGCTTCTAATGCTTTAGAGAGAGACATCCTTTTTTGCAGCATGAACTTTCTTCATCAGATACAATATTGAGTTGACTTCCCCCCCCCTCTCTTTGTACAGGAGGCAATTGCAGATAATATTTTTTTAAAGTTAGAAATATTAATTTAAAAATAAACATGATGGATGCCTGCCTTTGTTTCTCCCTGTGTATGTTGGAGGGGGCGCACGCGAGATGTTTAAAATGACACCTGTTGCTGCCACCTCAAAGCTCTTGATGGCAAAATTGCATCCTACCATCCGTGGTGCGTATTTTGGCTTCTCCAGGTTCTGATTGTGAAGCCTGGGATGTCAACAACACCAGTGTCAACAGTCAAGATGAACTACAGCAGTGATGGCAAACCTTTTTGAGCCCGAGCACCCAAATGGCAACCCAAAACCAACTCATTTATTTCCAAGTGCAATTAAACCTGAACACTGAGATTTTAATGTATTATCCAAGGCTTTCACAGCCGGGATCAGATGGTTGTAGGTTTTTCCCCCCTAGGGGCAGAGAAATACTTATTGTTCTCCAATCCCCAGTCGGGCTAGACGGCCGCCATTGCACCCATCCGCTGCAGGGGGGAGTGCCGAAATCCAGGATCAGAGGACTCATAAGCATTTATCAATGGTGACTTATTGCTCGCAGGTCCACAGAGAGGGCTCTGCGTGCCAGCTGTGGCACACATACCATAGGTTCGCCATCGCTGGTCTACAGGATACCCTCTTCTGCTTGCTACCATTTACACTTCTTGAAAAACAATTGTTTTGTGTTTGGATATGAAGTGGCTGACTGATGAAGAAGGAGTAAATTTCCAGGATCACTGCTTCCTTACTGTCAGTGTTGTGACATGGGATAATCCCTGTCAGAATCACAACCCAAAGGATCTGTTTTTTCCCCCAATATTTGAATGGTAGGTGCTGTTCCTATCCCATATGAGAAAATCTTCCTTTTATTTTTTGACATTTTCATCAACTCAGTAAGTAATGATGAAGTAATGACGATCTTTTTTAGTTTTAGAGAACTGGAACCCTGGAATGATTACTTTTATTTATTTAATCTTTAAGACTTATACATGGGCTCCTCAAACTGGTGGTAGGAAACAAAAATACACACTTTAACATTTGCCCACAAAAAAAATTGATAGACAATCACAGTAGAATTACTATGCTGTTATCCATTTTTCTTTGGGATGGTAGATACACAAGTCAGTCAACTGCATTTTTAGGTTGAATGCGCTACTAGTGGACGACTGTATTGCAGTGAAATGGAGAGCTTTACAAACGTTCACTTTCGGTTACAGCGAGTCTCTGCCCCAAAGAGTTTACAAACCTTATTTTCCACTGGCAAACGGGGATAGGAGTAGAAAAGCCAAGGTGGCCAATTTGGAAGAAATTTTGGGGGTTTTCAGTGCTTGCAGGACAGGTGCGTTCAAAAGCTCTTTAGTTAGGTCTGAAGGTCCAGGACATTGAGAAGTAGGGCTGCAATGCTGTAACTCTTAAGTCAAGGGAACCTTAACAGGGGAATATGGTTGTGTGAATCACTGAGCATCCCTGGCCGGGGGTGGGGTGGGAGGCGATCTATAATGGTCTCAATCCGGGAGAGGTAACTAGAACCGACCCCCTTTCCTGGCTTTTCTCTCCATCTTCCTCGGTGGCTGAATGGCGAACCCGCAAAGGAGGGTTCCCACGACCGCCCCCTTCCTGCAGGCTCCGAACACGCAACTCCGCCTCCCAAGGAGGAATAGAGGAGAGGAGGAGGAGGAGCAGGAAGCCGAGGGGAGAAGGGCTGCTGATTCTCCCTCCCCGTCCTCCTTGCAGCCCGTCGTCCAACAGGGAGAGTTCGCCCGAAGCGTCACGCATCCAGCCTGGCTCGCCATCCCTCCCTTCCCCCGGACCGAGTCGTGAGCATCCGCCTCCTCCCGGGAGCAGAGGAAGCGGGCCAGCCGCGATCCCCCCACCGGCTTCCTCGACGCTTCCGGTAGGGGTTTGTTTGGGAGCCCGGTGGTGGCGCTTGGGTGTCGGTCGCAGCGGCCGGAGCAGGGCGGGCTGGCGGGGCTGCCCATCCTGTGCAGAGGGCGGGCCGGGGGTGAGCCTCTGGGCCTCAGTTTCCCCCTTGCAAAAAAAGGGGGGGACCCGCAGAGGGGCCCCAACGAGCCCCCGCCCTCCCC